CAACACACCAACAACAACACCCACAACAACAACAACACCAACACCAACAACACCAACAACACCCACAACAACAACACCAACAACAACAACACCAACAACACCAACAACAACATTAACAACACCAACAACAACAACACCAACAACCACAACAACACCAACAACACCAACAACCACAACAACAACAACAAGGCCACCACACTCACTCATAGTCTCCAGACTATGCATTGTTGTTGTTGTCTATTGTAGCCTAAGGGACCGTCCATAAATGACGTCACGCACCTAGGGGGGGGGGGGTCAGACATTTGTGACGATGTGTGACGAGGGGGGGGGGTGAGAAATGTGACGTCACATCAAAATGCGCAACTTTAAATAGACATAGACAACACGTTCTACTTAATTAAATAGACTTTTTAATGAATGTTTTCTCCTACAACGTCACGCGTTTTTGGATGATTTTGACCCCCCACCCCCCCTCGTCACACGGCGTCACAAAAGTCAGACCCCCCCTCCTCAAATATGACATCACAAAGCTCTGCCCGCCCCCCAAAATAAATAAAACATGCTTCAAATCGCTTTAAACTATTGTCATTGTAGTGCGTATTTAATGTGGCGCTGCACTCTGATGTTGTAGGAGAAAACATTTATTAAAAAGTCAATTTAATTAAGTAGAACGTGTTGTCTATATTTATTTAAAGTTGCGCATTTTGATGTGACGTCACATTTCTCAACCCCCCCCCCTCCCACCTCGTCACACATCGTCACAAATGTCTGACCCCCCCCCAGGTGCGTGACGTCATTTATGGACGGCCCCTAATAATAATTTGTGTCTTTGTGTTTCTCTCCTTGTGATGGGACTGTAGGATGAACGTTGAGATGTATAAGGGTCACGGGATGACCAACAATGTCTGAATTGGTCTGTAACAAAAGTAGGAGGACACTGATTAGGCGTCGTTGTTTCGCCTGATGAAGCTGGTTGTAATTAGTGGCGAAACGTCGTACTCGCATTGTAAATGCTGTGGCTTGGCTCTCCAACACACCGGTGTTGCTGGACTAGTATACTACACTATATACTACACTACTATACACTACACACTACACTATACACTACACTATATACTACACTATACACTACACTACTATACACTACACTATACACTACACTATATACTACACTATACACTACACTATACACTACACTATATACTACACTATACATTACACTATACACTACACTATATAATACACTATACACTACACACTACACTATACACTACACTATACACTACACTATACACTACACACTACACTGTACACTACATTATACACTACACTATACACTGCACTATACAATATACTAATATACACTACACTATACAATACACTACATTATACACTACACTATATACTACAATATACTAATATACACTACACTATACACTACACTATACACTACACTATACACTACACTATACACTATACACTACACTATACACTACACTATACAATATACTACACTATACACTACACTATACAATATACTACTATACACTACACTATACACTACACTATACACTACACTATACACTACATTACTATACACTATACACTATACACAATACACTAAAATACACTATACACTAGTGCTGTACCAGTGACGAATTTCCCACTTTCTGTGTACGAGACAAACCTTACGAATTGGCTGTTGTGGGCGTTGGCAGTTTTCACCGCGCAATTATAAATGTATAGGTGATCTCACCCAAAAAAAACCTGTTATGGATACAAATAAATATCCTACATTCCGCACTGTACCGTGCTTGCCGCTCCAGTGACGCATACACGTGCCGTGTTTTCATTGTTTAAGTTGTATGTAGTGCATAATGTACCCTATGTAATATTGGACACTGAAATCAAGCGAAGCGACTTTAATTGTTACGTGCACGGTGCTGAGCGATGGTCTTGGTCAGTGAGTGGCTGGGTGAGTGAGTGGCTGGGTGAGTGAGTGGCTGAGTGGGTGGGTGAGTGAGTGGCTGGGTGAGTGAGTGGCTGGGTGAGTGAGTGGCTGGTGGGTGGTGAGTGAGTGGCTGGTGAGTGAGTGGCTGGGTGAGTGAGTGGCTGGGTGAGTGAGTGGCTGGGTGAGTGAGTGGCTGGGTGAGTGAGTGGCTGGGTGAGTGAGTGGCTGGGTGAGTGAGTGGCTGGGTGAGTGAGTGGCTGAGTGAGTGAGTGGCTGAGTGAGTGGCTGGGTGAGTGAGTGGCTGGGTGAGTGAGTGGCTGAGTGAGTGAGTGGGTGGGTGAGTGAGTGGCTGAGTGGGTGAGTGGCTGAGTGAGTGAGTGGCTGAGTGAGTGGCTGGGTGAGTGAGTGGCTGGGTGAGTGAGTGGCTGAGTGAGTGAGTGGCTGGATGAGTGAGTGGCTGAGTGGGTGGGTGAGTGAGTGGCTGGGTGAGTGAGTGGCTGGGTGAGTGAGTGGCTGGGTGAGTGAGTGGCTGAGTGGGTGGGTGAGTGAGTGGCTGGGTGAGTGAGTGGCTGGGTGAGTGAGTGGCTGGGTGAGTGAGTGGCTGGGTGAGTGAGTGGCTGAGTGAGTGAGTGGCTGAGTGAGTGGCTGGTGAGTGAGTGGCTGGGTGAGTGAGTGGCTGAGTGAGTGAGTGAGTGGGTGGGTGAGTGAGTGGCTGAGTGGGTGAGTGGCTGAGTGAGTGAGTGGCTGAGTGAGTGGCTGGGTGAGTGAGTGGCTGGGTGAGTGAGTGGCTGAGTGAGTGAGTGGCTGAGTGAGTGGCTGGGTGAGTGAGTGGCTGGGTGAGTGAGTGCTGAGTGAGTGGCTGGGTGAGTGAGTGGCTGGGGTGAGTGAGTGGCTGAGTGGGTGGGTGGTGAGTGGCTGGTGAGTGAGTGGCTGGGTGAGTGAGTGGCTGAGTGAGTGAGTGGCTGAGTGAGTGGCTGGGTGAGTGAGTGGCTGAGTGAGTGGCTGGGTGAGGTGAGTGGCTGGGTGAGTGAGTGGCTGGGTGAGTGAGTGGCTGAGTGAGTGGCTGAGTGGCTGGGTGAGTGAGTGGCTGGGTGAGTGAGTGGCTGGGTGAGTGAGTGGCTGAGTGAGTGGCTGGGTGAGTGAGTGGCTGGGTGAGTGAGTGGCTGGGTGAGTGAGTGGCTGGGTGAGTGAGTGGGTGGGTGAGTGAGTGGCTGGGTGAGTGAGTGGGTGGGTGAGTGAGTGGCTGGGTGAGTGAGTGCCTGAGTGAGTGAGTGGCTGAGTGAGTGGCTGGGTGAGTGAGTGGCTGAGTGAGTGGCTGGGTGAGTGAGTGGCTGGGTGAGTGAGTGGCTGAGTGAGTGAGTGGCTGAGTGAGTGGCTGGGTGAGTGAGTGGCTGAGTGAGTGGCTGGGTGAGTGAGTGGCTGAGTGGCTGGGTGAGTGAGTGGCTGGGTGAGTGAGTGGCTGAGTGAGTGAGTGGCTGAGTGAGTGGCTGGGTGAGTGAGTGGCTAGGTGAGTGAGTGAGTGGCTGGGTGAGTGGCTGAATGAGTGGCTGGGTGAGTTAGTGGCTGAGTGGCTGGGTGAGTGAGTGGCTGGGTGAGTGAGTGGCTGGGTGAGTGAGTGGTTGAGTGGCTGGGTGAGTGAGTGGCTGGGTGAGTGAGTGGCTGGGTGAGTGAGTGGGTGGGTGAGTGAGTAGCTGATTGAGTGGCTGGGTGAGTGAGTGGGTGGGTGAGTGAGCTGGTGGGTGAGTGAGTGGCGAGTGGGTGACGTGAGTGGCTTGAGTGGGCTGGGTGAGTGCGTGGCAGAGGGGGTGACTGAGTGGCTGAGTGGGTGGGTGAGTGAGTGGCTGGCTGAGTGAGTGGCTGAGTGAGTGGCTGAGTGAGTGAGTGGCTGAGTGAGTGGCTGGGTGAGTGAGTGGCTGAGTGTGCTGAGTGAGTGAGTGGCTGGGTGAGTGAGTGGCTGGAGTGAGTGAGGGCTGGGTGAGTGAGTGGCTGGGTGAGTGAGTGGTTGAGTGGCTGGGTGAGTGAGTGGCTGGGTGAGTGAGTGGCTGGGTGAGTGAGTGGCTGGGTGAGTGAGTGGCTGAGTGAGTGGCTGGGTGAGTGAGTGGCTGGATGAGTGAGTAGCTGGGTGAGTGGGTGAGTGAGTGACACTGTCTGGAGAAGAGATGGAGCTGATGCGATACAGGAGGACGTGGAGCTGAGTGAACTTGCCGATGACCGGTACCAGCGGTGTCAAGATCGGCCTTTGTGGAGGAGGAGGAGGCTCGCGAAGGACGCCACTGGGCAGTGCCAGGCTAGGTGCGCTTTGATGCGGCTGGGCAGTTTGTCGGTCATCTCCGTCGAACCCCATGGCATCTACCCTGTTTGGGGGGCTTTCGGCGAGGCCTCTAATGCACCTAGCTTGGCACTGCCGGCTCGTTGTTGTGAGTGTGGAGCCGTATTTTGCGGGCGCATTAACAAAGGTGGATGCGAGAATAGGTTTTCTCCTATTTTCTGGCAACAAAACAGCTGTGTTAAGATGTTAAAACACCAAACTGAATCCTTTTACAAGGAATCATGTCACTGCATTGACCACAATAGTTTGCTTTGCATTCTGACCACAAGTGTTGTGGTTAATGCAGTGACATGATTCCTTGTACATCATGGGACCTCCTTTGCCGGTACCAAAATATACTAATAGGATTTTTCCCCTTTTTTCTGGCAACAACACTGACACATTTTGCAAGCATTAACCACAATACTTAGCAGTCAAATTCAAACAAAAAACAACACTCTGATAATTTATGCGCCGTTTGGCGTCATCTGGTCGAACACCATATGAGACTAGGCTCAAAGAAAGCTGTCTCTGGTGTGGACCAATCAGTTTCAAAGACAATGCATAAATTACCAGAGTGTTGTTTTTTGTTCGCATTTGACTGCAAGTATTGTGGTCAATGTAAGCATGATTCCTTGCAAAAGGTGTCAGTTTTGTTGCCACAAAAAAAGGGGAAAAGCCCTATTAGTATGATTCCTTGTGTTGAGGAGTCCCCACGGATGCACTACGAGACAGAGGTAAGTTAAGGGCTTTCGCCAGGGTTCATTAAAGACTTCACAATACACACAGCAGGGTACACAACTCCCAGGGACTAGGGGTCCTACTCTGAGTCCGGGTCCCTGCCGGCTAGCTCCGGTCTCTCTCTCTCGTGTCGGATCGTGGAGTCTGCCGACTCCACCGAGCAGAGAGAGAAGCACCTCTACGGCTACCACCGGCTTCTCCCCAGACTCACCACCAGTGGCGGCTCCTGCAAAATCTCTCAGGGGGGGCAAATGTCTGGATGATTGATAAGGATAAGGTCCACCCATGCAATAGATAAATTAACAGCTTAAGCATGTAAAGGCAACTTCACTTCTTTAATATTAATGAAAAATAAAGTCACTCTTACAATACATCTCCTTGTTTGTTTCTATACTCACTATAAAAAAAACCACTCAAGTTTCTTTTATTGAAGATTCCACTAGGTGGCGACAAATTATATTGTTGGATGGAACGTGCTTACGTATGATGACGTAAGCACGTATGATGACGTAAGCACGTTAGGGCGAGCCCTCCCGGAAGCCATAGAGAATGCATTGGAGCGCCCCCCGTTCGAAAAAAAACATCTTTGAATGTAAGTCTATGGGGCCACTCGGGGCGATTCTCAGCCGGAGTGGAATCGCCCAAAAAGAGGCGGTACTCCACAGAACGTGACATAACGCTGATTGGACTATATCCAGAGGCTGACAGTGACGGCTAGCGTGACTCTGTGGTTGAATGACATTGGTGGTGCGTCGCCCAATCGCCCTAGTGAAGAAACCGCCCCTGCTCACCACTCGATCCCTCTCTCTACCCACTGGTTCCCTCTTCACCCTGCTTGCTCTACCCGTTCCCACAGTGACCCCGCCAACGTCACGGGGTCTCCCTTAAGTACCCCAGGAGACGTGACGTCATCGCACTGAACGGCACACGTGACGTCATGTCCCCATTTCACTCCTCTACACTTGCAAAATGTTTCAGTTTGGTGTTTTAACATCTTAACACAGCTGTTTTGTTGCCAGAAAAAAGGGGGAAACCTCTTCTCATATTTTGGTACTGGCAAAGGAGGTCCCAAAGGTGGAGATGTTAACTACCTCGCCTGGTCTGCAGGAGGTCGTGGGTTCCGTCTAGACCCTGACTCCTGCCGCTGCTGTATATTTGGAGTTTGCGTGTCTCTCTCTCCTCATCATCATCACGGTGGCTAGGAGATGTTAACTACCTCGCCTGGTATGCAGGAGGTCGTGGGTTTGATCCCGACCCCGACTCCTGATGCTGTATATTTGGAGTTTGCGTGTCTCTCTCTTTTTTTTACGATCAGAGGAAACAAGAAGATGCTCGGTGTAGTTGGCACTTTGCTTCGTTCATCATTTCTTTTTTTTAATGCTTTGCTTTATTTTGATTTAAAGCTTTCGTGACTGCAGGGATTCATATTCTTAGTTCTTTCGAAATAAAAAAAAGAATATGCTTTGCTTTATATTAACCCCCTCCCCCCCCTTTTGAAATGAAAGATTTCACAAAATATTTCACGCTCTTATCTCCTTACCCCTTCCCTCTCTCCCTACCCCATGTCAATGTTCCCCCTATGTTTTCTCTCCCCACTCTCTTTTTTAACGCTCTTTCTCTCATCATCATCATCATCACAGTGGCTGGGAGATGTTAACTACCTCGCCTCGTATACAGGAGGTCGCGGGTTCAATCCCGACCCTAACGCCTGCTGTATATTTTGAGTTTGCGTGTCTCTCTCATCATCATCACGGTGGCTAAGAGATGTTGACTACCTCGCCTGGTGTACAGGAGGTCGTGGGATCGATCCCGACCCTGACGCCTGATGCTGCTGTATATTTGGAGTTTGCGTGTCTCTCTCTCCCATCATCATGTCCACACTGATCACGATGTTAAACCCACTTCGTGTGAGCGAGCATTGCTAATGAACTGGTGGCTTTAACTTTGTAAAATAAAATAATTTAAAACAAATCTTTGATTATGCTCAAGCACTCGGTACAATATAATTATACCGTATTGCGTCGTTAAATATTGCGGCCACACTTACAATCTAATTGTAACATCAAAGTTTATTAGAATACGATTACATTACGGGCCGTCCATAAATGACGTCACTCGATTTTAGACGATTTTGACCCCTCGTCACGCATCGTCACAAATGTCTGACCCCCCCCCAGGTGCGTGACGTCATTTATGGACGGCCCCTTATGACGTCATTGTTGCGGTGGTTACATTGCGTCACGGTCGCGTGGGTTTTCGCGCGTGTGTTGCGTCATCCGAATGCAGATGCGTGACGTCACGAGGCTACGTCATCGCAACATCCGGGGGATCGCGCAGCAGTGGGGGGGGGGGAGAAAACCCGCCACGTGACGCGGCAGCAGCCAATGAACGCCGCGAACGGGCCCCGGGGGGGAGGGGGGGGGGCGGAACACACCGGAATCGATTCCTGCCGCCGACATTCGAAACTTATGAATCGATTCCGATCTCCGTGCAGGATTTCCGCATGTAATCGGAATCGATAGGCGGCGATTCGATTTGTGTGATTCTCACGACACCCGCGACCAGGCGAGGTAGTTGGAATCGATTGTGGACAATTCGTCACGATTCTGAGAATCGATTCCGCACGTGTTGAAGCTTCCTCCTTCACCCACGTGGCGGCGTTTTAATGATATCGGCGGTGCGAGGCTAGATGAGGGTCGATTTTTTCGCGAGATTTAAACTCCTCGGCAGGCCCAAGATGTCTTTGGCTAACGGAGAGCAGCGCACGTACAGAGACGCGCTGGACACAACGGGACGTGAGTTGTTTTTTTGTTTTTGTAACAATTTTTTTTTATTTAAATTTTCATTTTTCATTCATTCTGTTCGTTCGCGATCGTTCGCTCTGTCCTTCAGCTACCCGCTTGTCTGCTGGGTTTCAACCCAGAGGTCGCAACCGGGTACCCGATACCCGTACGATACCCGGCTACCCTTACCCGGCCACGGGTACCCATTTGCGACCCTGGTGCAGCCGGGTACGGGTACGGGTAGGCCGTGAGTCACTGGTGAGTCACCGTGTGTCACTCATTTCGGGTAGGGTACGGGTAGGGAACGGGTACCCGGCCGGGTACGGGTACGGGTAGGCCGTGAGTCACTGGTGAGTAACTGTTTGTCACTCATTTCGGGTAGGGAACGGGTACCCGGCCGGGTACGGGTACCCATTTGTGACCCTGGTGGGGCCTGGTACGGAATCAAAACCCGTTTGCGACCTCTGGTTTAACTCCCCGAACGGGAAGGACATCTTCGCCTGTTAGCCGGATCGTGTGAGGAGCTCACAAGCTCCTAGAAAGATCTGGGACGCGGTTCCTTCCCGTCATCGACGGTGAACTCCTCCGGCAGGCGAGGGCTGCCTTGGTTGGGTCACGTAGCCCGCGTGCCCAGCCACCGCGTCCTCCTGTACCACATCACTCCATCTCTTCTCCAGCCCGTGTCACTCACTCACTCACTTAGCCACTTACTCAGCCACTCAGCCACTCACTCACTCACCCACGCACCCACTCAGCCACTCACCCACTCAGCCACTCACCCACTCACTCACCCAGCCACTCACTCACCCAGCCACTCACTCACCCAGCCACTCACTCACCCAGCCACTCACTCACCCAGCCACTCACTCACCCAGCCACTCACTCACCCAGCCACTCACTCACCCAGCCACTCACCCACCCGCCCACTCTTCACTCACCCACTCACTCACCCAGCCACTCACTCACCCACCCACTCAGCCACGCACTCACCCAATGCAGCTTCTGTTTGGCCGCATAGAGGGGGCTAAACCGGCGCGACACGGGCTGGAGAAGAGATGGAGCTGATGGGTGGCTGGGTAAGTGAGTGGCTGAGTGGGTGAGTGAGTGCATGGCTGAGTGAGTGGCTGGGTGGGTGAGTGGCTGGGTGAGTGAGTGGCTGGGTGAGTGAGTGGCTGGGTGATTGAGTGGCTGAGTGGGTGGGTGGCTGAGTGGGTGGGTGAGCGAGTGGGTGAGTGAAGAGTGGGCGGGTGGGTGAGTGGCTGGGTGAGTGAGTGGCTGGGTGAGTGAGTGGCTGGGTGAGTGAGTGGCTGGGTGAGTGAGTGGCTGGGTGAGTGAGTGGCTGGGTGAATGAGTGGCTGGGTGAGTGAGTGGCTGGGTGATTCAGTGGCTGAGTTGGTGGGTGGCTGAGTGGGTGGCTGAGTGGGTGCGTGGGTGAGTGAGTGGCTGGGTGAGTGAGTGGCTGGGTGGGTGGGTGGCTGAGTGGGTGGCTGAGTGGGTGGCTGAGTGGGTGGCTGAGTGGGTAGGTGAGTGGGTGGGTGCGTGGGTGGGTGCGTGGGTGAGTGGGTGGGTGAGTGGGTGGGTGAGTGACTGGGTGATTGAGTGGCTGAGTGGGTGGGTGGCTGAGTGGGTGGCTGAGTGGGTGAGTGGCTGGGTGAGTGGGTGCGTGGGTGAGTGGGTGGGTGGGTGAGTGAGTGGGTGGGTGAGTGGCTGAGTGAATGAGTGGGTGAGTGGCTGAGTGAGTGGGTGGGTGAGTGAGTGGCTGGGTGAGTGGCTGGGTGAGTGCGTGGCTGAGTGGGTGAGTGGTTGAGTGGGTAAGTGGGTGAGTGAGTGAGTGACACGGGCTGGAGAAGAGATGGAGTGATGTGGTACAGGAGGACGTGGAGTTGAGTGGACTTGCCGATGACCGGTACCAGCGGTGTCAAGATCGGCCTCTATGGAGGAGGAGGAGGCTCGCGAAGGACGCCACTGGACAGTGCCAGGCTAGGTGCGCTTAGATGCGGCTGGGCAGTTTGTCGGTCATCTCCGTCAACCCCATGGCACCTACCCTAATGTATAGTGTATAGTAGTGCAGTGTAGTGTATAGTGGTGTATAGCAGTGTAGTGTGTAGTGTATAGTAGTGCAGTGTAGTGTATAGTGGTGTATAGCAGTGTAGTGTATAGTAGTGTATAGCAGTGTAGTGTATAGTAGTATATAGTGTATAGTAGTGTATAGCAGTGTAGTGTATAGTAGTGTATAGCAGTGTAGTGTATAGCAGTGTAGTGTGTAGTATATAGTAGTATAGTAGTGTACAGTAGTGTAGTGTACAGTAGTGTAGTGTTTAGTAGTGTATAGCAGTGTAGTGTGTAGTGTATAGTGTATAGCAGTGTAGTGTATAGTGTATCGTAGTGTAGTGTATAGCAGTGTAGTGTATAGCAGTGTGTAGTGTATAGTAGTGTAGTGTATAGCAGTGTAGTGTATAGTAGTGTATAGCAGTGTAGTGTATAGCAGTGTAGTGTGTAGTATATAGTAGTATAGTAGTGTACAGTAGTGTAGTGTACAGTAGTGTAGTGTTTAGTAGTGTATAGCAGTGTAGTGTATAGTGTATAGCAGTGTAGTGTATAGTGTATCGTAGTGTAGTGTATAGCAGTGTAGTGTATAGCAGTGTGTAGTGTATAGTAGTGTAGTGTAGTGTATAGCAGTGTAGTGTGTAGTGTATAGCAGTGTAGTGTATAGTGTATCGTAGTGTAGTGTATAGCAGTGTAGTGTATAGCAGTGTGTAGTGTATAGTAGTGTAGTGTAGTGTATAGCAGTGTAGTGTGTAGTAGTGTATAGTGTATAGCAGTGTAGTGTATAGTGTATCGTAGTGTAGTGTATAGCAGTGTAGTGTATAGCAGTGTGTAGTGTATAGCAGTGTAGTGTGTAGTGTATAGTGTATAGCAGTGTAGTGTATAGTGTATCGTAGTGTAGTGTATAGCAGTGTAGTGTATAGCAGTGTGTAGTGTATAGTAGTGTAGTGTAGTGTGTAGTAGTGTATAGTGTATAGCAGTGTAGTGTATAGTGTATCGTAGTGTAGTGTATAGCAGTGTAGTGTATAGCAGTGTGTAGTGTATAGTAGCATACTTGTCAACCCATTGGTTCCCCCAGCACCTCGGAACGTAATTGTTCAACATAATCGCTGCTATTATCAAACATTTGTTTCAAAAATCTGTAGTTGTGGGGGACGCTTCGATGTTGTCTTGGCGGACGAGTCACCCCCCTCACCACCCCACCTTGTGAAAGAGCTTCTTTAGCTCAACGCGGGTTTAGTCGCTGGGGAAATACACTTCTGATTCTTCACGATGAAAACTAAACGAACGTGATGTCATTTTAATTTCACTGAGTTCTATCGAAAAACCCACGCGGCCACGGGAAGAGAGCGAGAGAGAGAGACACGCAAACTCCAAATATACAGCAGCAGGCATCGGGGGTCGGGATCGAACCCACGACCTCCTGTATACCAGGCGAGGTAGTTAACATCTCCTAGCCACCGTGATGATGATGAGAGAGAGAGACATGCAAACTCCAAATATGCAACAGGCATCAGGGTCGGGATCGAACCCACGACCTCCTGTACACCAGGCGAGGTAGTTAACATCTCCTAGCCACCGTGATGATGATGAGAGAGAGAGACACGCAAACTCCAAATATACAGCAGCAGGCATCAGGGTCGGGATCGAACCCACGACCTCCTGTACACCAGGCGAGGTAGTTAACATCTCCTAGCCACCGTGATGATGAGAGAGAGAGACACGCAAACTCCAAATATACAGCAGCAGGCATCAGGGTCGGGATCGAACCCACGACCTCCTGTACACCAGGCGAGGTAGTTAACATCTCCTAGCCACCGTGATGATGATGAGAGAGAGAGACACGCAAACTCCAAATATACAGCAGCAGGGGTCGGGATGAAACCCACGACCTCCTGCATCCCAGGCGAGGTAGTTAACATCTCCTAGCCACCGTGATGATGATGAGAGAGAGAGACACGCAAACTCCAAATATACAGCAGCAGGCGTCAGGGTCGGGATCGAACCCACGACCTCCTGTACACCAGGCGAGGTAGTTAACATCTCCTAGCCACCGTGATGATGATGAGAGAGAGAGACACGCAAACTCCAAATATACAGCAGCAGGCGTCAGGGTCGGGATCGAACCCACGACCTCCTGTATACCAGGCGAGGTAGTTAACATCTCCTAGCCACCGTGATGATGATGAGAGAGAGAGACACGCAAACTCCAAATATACAGCAGCAGGCATCGGGGGTCGGGATCGAACCCACGACCTCCTGTATACCACGCGAGGTAGTTAACATCTCCTAGCCACCGTGATGATGATGAGAGAGAGAGAGACACGCAAACTCCAAATATACAGCAGCAGGCGTCGGGGGTCAGAATGGAACCCACGACCTCCTGTATACCAGGCGAGGTAGTTAACATCTCCTAGCCACCGTGATGATGATGAGAGAGAGAGAGACACGCAAACTCCAAATATACAGCAGCAGGCGTCAGGGTCGGGATCGAACCCACGACCTCCTGTACACCAGGCGAGGTAGTTAACATCTCCTAGCCACCGTGATGATGATGAGAGAGAGAGACACGCAAACTCCAAATATACAGCAGCAGGCGTCAGGGTCGGGATCGAACCCATGACCTCCTGCACACCAGGCGAGGTAGTTAACATCTCCTAGCCACCGTGATGATGATGAGAGAGAGAGACACGCAAACTCCAAATATACAGCAGCAGGCGTCGGGGGTCAGAATGGAACCCACGACCTCCTGTATACCAGGCGAGGTAGTTAACATCTCCTAGCCACCGTGATGATGATGAGAGAGAGAGAGACACGCAAACTCCAAATATACAGCAGCAGGCGTCAGGGTCGGGATCGAACCCACGACCTCCTGTACACCAGGCGAGGTAGTTAACATCTCCTAGCCACCGTGATGATGATGAGAGAGAGACACGCAAACTCCAAATATACAGCAGCAGGCATCGGGGGTCGGGATCGAACCCACGACCTCCTGTATACCAGGCGAGGTAGTTAACATCTCCTAGCCACCGTGATGATGATGAGAGAGAGAGACACGCAAACTCCAAATATACAGCAGGCGTCAGGGGTCGGGATCGAACCCACGACCTCCTGTATACCAGGCGAGGTAGTTAACATCTCCTAGCCACCGTGATGATGATGAGAGAGAGAGACACGCAAACTCCAAATATACAGCAGCAGGCATCGGGGGTCAGAATGGAACCCACGACCTCCTGTATATCAGGCGAGGTAGTTAACATCTCCTAGCCACCGTGATGATGATGAGAGAGAGAGAGACACGCAAACTCCAAATATACAGCAGCAGGCGTCAGGGTCAGAATGGAACCCACGACCTCCTGTATACCAGGCGAGGTAGTTAACATCTCCTAGCCACCGTGATGATGATGAGAGAGAGAGAGACACCGCAAACTCCAAATATACAGCAGCAGGCGTCAGGGTCAGGAATGGAACCCACGACCTCCTGTATACCAGGCGAGGTAGTTAACATCTCCTAGCCACCGTGATGATGATGAGAGAGAGAGACACGCAAACTCCAAATATACAGCAGGCGTCAGGGTCGGGATCGAACCCACGACCTCCTGTATACCAGGCGAGGTAGTAACATCTCCTAGCCACCGTGATGATGATGAGAGAGAGAGAGACACGCAAACTCCAAATATACAGCAGCAGGCGTCAGGGTCAGAATGGAACCCACGACCTCCTGTATACCAGGCGAGGTAGTTAACATCTCCTAGCCACCGTGATGATGATGAGAGAGAGAGACACGCAAACTCCAAATATACAGCAGCAGGCATCAGGGTCGGGATCGAACCCACGACCTCCTGTACACCAGGCGAGGTAGTTAACATCCTAGCCACCGTGATGATGATGAGAGAGAGAGACACGCAAACTCCAAATATACAGCAGCAGGCATCAGGGTCGGGATCGAACCCACGACCTCCTGTACACCAGGCGAGGTAGTTAACATCTCCTAGCCACCGTGATGATGATGAGAGAGAGAGACACGCAAACTCCAAATATACAGCAGCAGGCAGGGTCGGGATGAAACCCACGACCTCCTGCATCCCAGGCGAGGTAGTTAACATCTCCTAGCCACCGTGATGATGATGAGAGAGAGAGACACGCAAACTCCAAATATACAGCAGCAGGCGTCAGGGTCGGGATCGAACCCACGACCTCCTGTACACCAGGCGAGGTAGTTAACATCTCCTAGCCACCGTGATGATGATGAGAGAGAGAGACACGCAAACTCCAAATATACAGCAGCAGGCGTCAGGGTCGGGATCGAACCCACGACCTCCTGTATACCAGGCGAGGTAGTTAACATCTCCTAGCCACCGTGATGATGATGAGAGAGAGAGACACGCAAACTCCAAATATACAGCAGCAGGCGTCAGGGGTCGGGATCGAACCCACGACCTCCTGTATACCAGGCGAGGTAGTTAACATCTCCTAGCCACCGTGATGATGATGAGAGAGAGAGACACGCAAACTCCAAATATACAGCAGCAGGCGTCAGGGGTCGGATCGAACCCACGACCTCCTGTATACCAGGCGAGGTAGTTAACATCTCCTAGCCACCGTGATGATGATGAGAGAGAGAGACACGCAAACTCCAAATATACAGCAGCAGGCGTCAGGGTCGGGATCGAACCCACGACCTCCTGTACACCAGGCGAGGTAGTTAACATCTCCTAGCCACCGTGATGATGATGAGAGAGAGAGACACGCAAACTCCAAATATACAGCAGCAGGCGTCAGGGTCGGGATCGAACCCACTGACCTCCTGCACACCAGGCGAGGTAGTTAACATCTCCTAGCCACCGTGATGATGATGAGAGAGAGAGACACGCAAACTCCAAATATACAGCAGCAGGCGTCGGGGTCAGGATCGAACCTACGACCTCCTGTATACCAGGCGAGGTAGTTAACATCTCCTAGCCACCGTGATGATGATGAGAGAGAGAGAGACACGCAAACTCCAAATATACAGCAGCAGGCGTCAGGGTCGGGATCGAACCCACGACCTCCTGTACACCAGGCGAGGTAGTTAACATCTCCTAGCCACCGTGATGATGATGAGAGAGAGAGACACGCAAACTCCAAATATACAGCAGCAGGCATCAGGGGTCGGGATCGAACCCACGACCTCCTGTATACCAGGCGAGGTAGTTAACATCTCCTAGCCACCGTGATGATGATGAGAGAGAGAGACACGCAAACTCCAAATATACAGCAGGCGTCAGGGTCGGGATCGAACCCACGACCTCCTGTATACCAGGCGAGGTAGTTAACATCTCCTAGCCACCGTGATGATGATGAGAGAGAGAGACACGCAAACTCCAAATATACAGCAGCAGGAATCGGGGGTCAGAATGGAACCCACGACCTCCTGTATACCAGGCGAGGTAGTTAACATCTCCTAGCCACCGTGATGATGATGAGAGAGAGAGAGACACGCAAACTCCAAATATACAGCAGCAGGCGTCAGGGTCAGAATGGAACCCACGACCTCCTGTATACCAGGCGAGGTAGTTAACATCTCCTAGCCACCGTGATGATGATGAGAGAGAGAGACACGCAAACTCCAAATATACAGCAGCAGGCGTCAGGGGTCGGGATCGAACCCACGACCTCCTGTATACCAGGCGAGGTAGTAACATCTCCTAGCCACCGTGATGATGATGAGAGAGAGAGAGACACGCAAACTCCAAATATACAGCAGCAGGCGTCAGGGTCAGAATGGAACCCACGACCTCCTGTATACCAGGCGAGGTAGTTAACATCTCCTAGCCACCGTGATGATGATGAGAGAGAGAGAGACACGCAAACTCCAAATATACAGCAGCAGGCGTCAGGGTCAGAATGGAACCCACGACCTCCTGTATACCAGGCGAGGTAGTTAACATCTCCTAGCCACCGTGATGATGATGAGAGAGAGAGAGACACGCAAACTCCAAATATACAGCAGCAGGCGTCAGGGTCAGAATGGAACCCACGACCTCCTGTATACCAGGCGAGGTAGTTAACATCTCCTAGCCACCATGATGATGATGAGAGAGAGAGAGACACGCAAACTCCAAATATACAGCAGCAGGCGTCAGGGTCGGGATCGAACCCACGACCTCCTGTATACCAGGCGAGGTAGTTAACATCTCCTAGCCACCGTGATGATGATGAGAGAGAGAGACATGCAAACTCCAAATATGCAACAGGCGTCAGGGTCGGGATCGAACCCACGACCTCCTGTATACCAGGCGAGGTAGTTAACATCTCCTAGCCACCGTGATGATGAGAGAGAGAGAGACACGCAAACTCCAAATATACAGCAGCAGGCGTCAGGGTCGGGATGGAACCCACGACCTCCTGTACACCAGGCGAGGTAGTTAACATCTCCTAGCCACCGTGATGATGATGAGAGAGAGAGAGAGACACGCAAACTCCAAATATACAGCAGCAGGCGTCAGGGTCGGGATGGAACCCACGACCTCCTGTACACCAGGCGAGGTAGTTAACATCTCCTAGCCACCGTGATGATGATGAGAGAGAGAGACATGCAAACTCCAAATATGCAACAGGCGTCAGGGTCGGGATCGAACCCACGACCTCCTGTACACCAGGCGAGGTAGTTAACATCTCCTAGCCACCGTGATGATGATGAGAGAGAGAGACACGCAAACTCCAAATATACAGCAGCAGGCGTCAGGGTCGGGATGGAACCCACGACCTCCTGTACACCAGGCGAGGTAGTTAACATCTCCTAGCCACCGTGATGATGATGAGAGAGAGAGACATGCAAACTCCAAATATGCAACAGGCGTCAGGGTCGGGATCGAACCCACGACCTCCTGTACACCAAGCGAGGTAGTTAACATCTCCTAGCCACCGTGATGATGATGAGAGAGAGAGAGACACGCAAACTCCAAATATACAGCAGCAGGCGTCAGGGTCTGGATGGAACCCACGACCTCCTGTACACCAGGCGAGGTAGTTAACATCTCCTAGCCACCGTGATGATGATGAGAGAGAGAGACATGCAAACTCCAAATATGCAACAGGCGTCAGGGTCGGGATCGAACCCACGACCTCCTGTACACCAGGCGAGGTAGTTAACATCTCCTAGCCACCGTGATGATGATGAGAGAGAGAGACACGCAAACTCCAAATATACAGCAGCAGGCGTCAGGGTCGGGATGGAACCCACGACCTCCTGTATACCAGGCGAAGTAGTTAACATCTCATAGCCACCGTGATGATGATGAGAAAGAGACACGCAAACTCCAAATATACAGCAGCAGGCGTCAGGGTCGGGATGGAACCCACGACCTCCTGTAGACCAGGCGAGGTAGTTAACATCTCATAGCCACCGTGATGATGATGAGAGAGACACGCAAACTCCAAATATACAGCAGCAGGCGTCAGGGTCGGGATGGAACCCACGACCTCCTGTACACCAGGCGAGGTAGTTAACATCTCCTAGCCACCGTGATGATGATGAGAGAGACACGCAAACTCCAAATATACAGCAGCAGGCGTCAGGGTCGGGATGGAACCCACGACCTCCTGTACACCAGGCGAGGTAGTTAACATGTCGCCAGACACGACCGTTATGAACCCATCAATGTCATAGTTACCGTCATAACATCATTGCCGAATCATCGTCGTCATCATGATTCGTGATTTATTTTCCGTCAGATCGTCCAGGCACGATGTTCGTCAGCCTCGGGATCGAAACGCCCCCCCCTCCCCCCCCACGAACCTCCTGCATACCCGGCAAGGGAGCTAACATCTACACCGACCGCAACCCTCTCTCCTCACTCTCTCCTCACTTTCCTCCCTCTCTCCTGACTCTCACCCTCTCAGGGCCGCTGTCCCTGCGGGAGGCTGTGACGCTGTTGGCGCGAGGCGTGGGCGCGGGCCTGGTGGTGGCGCTGCCCTCCGACACGGTGTACGGCCTGGCGTGTCGCGCCGGCAGCCCACGGGCGCTGCGGCGAGTCTACGACGCCAAGGGGCGCGACGGCGGCAAACCGCTCGCCGTGTGCGTGGGGGACACGCGGGAGGTGGGCAGGTGGGTGAGGGTGACGGAGGGTGAGTTTACGGGTGAGTGAGGGAGGGTGTGGGTGAGAGTACGGGTGGGTGAGGGAGGGAGGGTGTGGGTGAGGGTACGGGTGAGGGAGGGAGGGTGTGGGTGAGTGTACGGGTGAGGGAGGGAGGGTGTGGGTGAGGGTACGGGTGAGGGAGGGAGGGTGTGGGTGAGTGTACGGGTGAGGGAGGGAGGGTGTGGGTGAGTGTACGGGTGAGGGAGGGAGGGTGTGGGTGAGAGTACGGGTGGGTGAGGGAGGGAGGTGTGGGTGAGTGTACGGGTGAGGGAGGGAGGGTGTGGGTGAGAGTACGGGTGGGTGAGGGAGGGAGGGTGTGGGTGAGGGTACGGGTGAGGGAGGGAGGGTGTGGGTGAGTGTACGGGTGAGGGAGGGAGGGTGTGGGTGAGAGTACGGGTGGGTGAGGGAGGGAGGGGTGGGTGAGGGTTAGGGTACGGGTGAGTGAGGGAGGTGTGGGTGAGGGTGAGGGTACGGGTGAGTGAGGGAGGTGTGGGTGAGGGTGAGGGTACGGGTGAGTGAGGGAGGTGTGGGTGAGGGTGAGGGTACGGGTGAGTGAGGGAGGTGTGGGTGAGGGTGAGGATACGGGTGAGTGAGGGAGGTGTGGGTGAGGGTGAGAGTACGGGTGAGTGAGGGAGGGTGTGGGTGAGGGTACGGGTGAGTGAGGGAGGTGTGGGTGAGGGTGAGGGTACGGGTGAGTGAGGGAGGTGTGGGTGAGGGTGAGAGTACGGGTGAGTGAGGGAGGGTGTGGGTGAGTGAGTGAGGGAGGGAGGGTGTGTGTGAGAGTACGGGTGAGGGAGGGTGTGGATGAGTGTACGGGTGAGGGAGTGAGGGAGGGTGTGGGTGAGAGTACGGGTCAGTGAGGGAGGGTGTGGGTGGTGGGTGAGGGTACAGGTGAGGGAGGGAGGGAGGGTGTGGGTGAGAGTACGGGTGAGTGAGTGAGGGTGTGGGTGAGAGTACGGGTGAGTGGGTGAGAGTACGGGTGAGGGAGGGAGGGAGGGAGCGTGTGAGAGTACGGGTTGAGTGAGTGAGGGTACAGATGTGGGGCACGGTTGAAGGACAGTTGTGGTGACAGGGGAGAAATCTACGTACCTGGGCAGTGTGCTTCTGACCAGCTTCGGTTTGTCAGCAGAGGTCTCAATTCCGAATCAGTCGAGCGGCAATATCTTTCCATCGGTTGCGTAACGCTGTGTGGAAGCTACCTGGTGTGTCACTCCGCACGAAGCTTCAGGTCTTCTCGGCCACGGTCATTCCCTCCCTTCTCTACGCTTGCGAAACGTGGACCCCCCTAATGGAGCATCTTCGCCGGTTGGAAACATTTAGGCTGTCATGCCTACGATCCATCCTGGGTTTAACCTGCAGGCTGGATTGTGTGAGGAGCTCACAAATACTTGAAATATCTGGGCACAGTCTCATCGGTGAGCTCCTCCGGCAGGCAAGGCTGCGTTGGCTGGGTCATGTAGCCCGCATGCCCAGCCACCGCATGCCTAAACAGCTTTTGTTCGGCCGGATCGAGGGGGCTAAACGGGCACGGCACGGGCTAGAGTAGAGATGGAGTGATGTGGTACAGGAGGACGTGGAGCTGAGTGGACTTGCCGATGACTGGTACCAGCGGTGTCAAGATCGGCCTCTGTGGAGGAGGCTCGTGAAGGACGCTACTGGGCAGTTGGAGGCAGTCGCCCTCCAGCAACAGCGGAGGGCAGAGGAGCGATGCTCACAACAAAGAGCGGAGCCCCGGGTGGCTCAAACACAGCAACGTGGCACAGTCGGGGGCACAGGTGGTGCAACTGCCAGTCATCCATGGCACCTGGTTCCACACTTCACGTCACCGTGGTGACGTCACCGCCACTTAGTGGCGGATGGCAGTCGTTGTTGTGTATGGGTGAGAGTATAGATAAATGTGTGTACAGGTGTGGGTACATGTGAGAGTGTGGGTGAATGTGTGTACAGGTGTGTGTACAGGTGTGTGTACAGGTGTGTGTTCATATGAGAGTGTGGGTGAATGTGTGTACAGGTGTGGGTACATGTGAGAGTGTGGGGGAATGTGTGTACAGGTGTGGGTACAGGTGAGAGTACAGGTGAATGTGTGTACAGGTGTGGGTATAGGTGAGAGTACAGGTGAATGTGTGTACAGGTGTGGGTATAGGTGAGATTACAGGTGAATGTGTGTACAGGTGTGTGTACAGGTGAGAGTGTGGGTCAATGTGTGTACAGGTGAATGTGTGTACAGGTGTGTGTACAGGTGAGAGTGTGGGTGAATTAGAGTAGGGGTGACTGTATGGGTGTGCAGGTGAGAGCGGGGGTGAGTGAGTAGGCGGAGGTGGGTGAGGGAGTGCCGGTGAGTTTAACAGCTGAGCGGTGTACAGATGGCGATGACGATTCTGCCAATAACGACGATTCAATACGGTGCTGCTGCTGCTGATGTTGATGTTGGAGGTGTTCATCTTCTTGGAGGTCATATTCTTAGGTTTTTCGGTAAAGTCACGTAGGTAAAAAAAAAATCTAAATTAATAACCTAAGAATATGAATCCTTGCAGTCACACGAAAGCTTCAAATCTCGAACTTCTTGGAGGTGTTGTTGACGATGTCGATGATGATTCCGGTGTTGCCGACGAGGGCGCCAGGCTCTGCCACGTGACGGTGTCTGACGAGGTGCTGCAGGACTTGCTGCCGGGCCCAGTCACGCTGGTGTTCAAGAGGAAACCCGAGCTTCACCCCGCACTCAACCCCAGCACACAGGTAGAGGTCCACCTCCTTCTCCACCACCACCACCACCACCAACTCACCACTACCTTCACCACCAACTCCACCACCTCCACTACCACCTGCACCACCTCCTTCACCCCATCCAGCAACTCCACCACCACTACCTCCACCACCACCACCAACTCCACCACTACCTTCCACCACTACTACCTCCTCCACCACCTCCTTCTCCACCACCACTAACTCCACCACTGCCTCCACCACCACCTCCACCATCTCCTTCACCCCATCCAGCAACTCCACCACCACGTCCACCACCTCCACGTCCACCACCTATACTACCTCCATGTCCACCACGTCCTCCACCACCACCTCCACTACCTCCACCTCCCCCACCTTCACCCCATCCAGTAACTCCACCACCACATCCACCACCACGTCCTCCACCTCCACCACCTCCACCTTCACCACGTCCCCACCACCTTCACCACGTCCACCACCTCCACGTCCACCACCTCTACTACCTCCATGTCCACCACGTCCTCCACCCCCATCTCTACCACCTCTACCTCCCCCACCACCTCCATTACCGCCACCACCACCTCCTCCACCACCTCCACTACCACCTCCACCACCTCCTTCACCCCATCCAGCAACTCCACTACCACGTCCACCACCTTCACCACGTCCACCACCTTCACCACGTCCACCACCTCCACATCCACCACCTCCACCTCATACCGCCACTTCTGGTGGGAAGGGCATCCACTAGAGGGCGCTGTTTTTACAAAAGATGTCAAGTAAATTTTTTTACAACAAAAAAATATTTTAATTCTTTACTATTTTTGAAAACTATTTTTGAAAAACTATTTCTTTAACACATTTTTTTACAATTGTTAACACGATTATTTGTCGTCTTGGTTCTTTCGGTAAAGTCACGTAGAAGGGAAGTAATAAAATAATAAAAATAAAACATAATAAAATACAATTCTCACGACGTTTCGGCCACAACGCAAGCAGCCGTCGTGAGAATTGTTTTATGATGTTTTATTTTTATTATTTTATTACTTCCCTTCTACGTGACTTTACCGAAAGAACCAAGAAGATGAATCCCTGCAGTCACGAAAGAAGCTTTAAATCGATTATTTGTATTTACCAAGTATAAGGCTTCACTCATATCTTACGTAGCTCTTTTAAAAAGAAGCGGAGCTGGCTATCAACAAATGATATCTCGACGAAGTTGGTGGCTTATCATCATCATCATTGTCGCGTGGAAATTTATAGCAGCAGCCAAATATTCTTAAACGCGCCATGTCGATTATAAATGTGGAGGGAAAAACCGAAGGACCCGGAGAAAAATTAACACCACCACGGGGAGAAAGAGAGACACGCAGACTCCAAATATACAGCAGCAGGCGTCATTAGGGTCTGGATCGAACCCACGACCTCCTGCGTACCAGGCGAGGTAGTTAACATCTCCTAGCCACCGTGATGTTGATGATGAGAGAGAGAGAGAGACACGCAGACTCCAAATATACAGCAGCAGGCGTCATTAGGGTCTGGATCGAACCCACGACCTCCTGCGTACCAGGCGAGGTGGTCAACATCTCGTGAGCGTTGCACGTGCGCCGCGCCGTCCTTCGGGGGCGCTCCTCACTTGGCAGCACTTGCCCCGGCGGTGTGTTGAAGGCTACGCGGGGGACCTTTGTCTGCGTGCGTGTGTGTGTGTGTGCGTGTGTGCGTGTGTTCGTGTGTGCGTGTGCGCGTGCGTGTGCGCGCGTGTGCGTGCGTGTGTTCGTGTGTCCGTGCACGTGCGTGCGTGTGTGTGTGTGCGTGTGTGTGCGCGTGTGTGCGTGTGCGTGCGTGTGTGTGTGTGCCTGCGTGTGTGTGTGCGTGCGTGCGCATGTGTGTGCGTGCGTGTGTGTGTGCGTGTGTGTGTGCGTGTGTGTGTGTGTGCGTGTGTGCGTGTGTGCGTCTGTGTGTGTGCCTGCGTGCGCGTGTGTGTGCGTGTGTGTGTGTGCGTGTGTGTGTGCGTGTGTGTGTGCGTGCGTGTGTGTGCGTGTGTGTGTGTGCGCGTGAGCAGCTGGTGGGGGTCCGAGTCCCCGAGCACGCCGTGCTGCGCCAGCTGTGCCTGCAGCTGCAGGAGCCGCTCGCCCTCACGAGCGCCAACGCCAGCGCGCAGCCCAGCTCCCTGCACGTGCACGTACGTCGCGAGGACGGGCAGGGTGACGGTGGTGGTGGTGGTGGTGGGTGGCGGTGGTGGTGGCGGTGGTGGCGGTGGTGGTGGCGGTGGTGGCGGTGGTGGTGCCGGTGGTGGTGGTGGCGGCGGCGGTGCCGGCGGTGGTGGCGGTGGTGGTGGTGGTGGTGGCGTGGGTGGTGTTGATGGTGTTGGTGGTGATGGTGTTGGTTTAGGCTACACGGGGTAGAACTTTGTGTGTGTGAGTTGCAGGAGTTCAGGGAGCTGTGGGGTTCCCTGGCGGTGGTTCTGGACGGGGGCCCACTGGGCGACCCCAGTGACCCGACCTCACGTCTGGGGTCAACGGTTGTCGACCTCTCCATGCCCGGAAGCTTCAGGATCATAAGGGCCGGCGTGTACGTCCACACTCACACAGCTACACACAACAAACACAAAGTTAATAACAGGGTTTTTCCCATTTTTTTCTGGCAACAAAACTGAAACCTTTTTACGAGGATTCACGTCTGCATTAACCACAATACTTGCAGTCAAAATGCAAACAAAAACACAATCTGATAATATATGCATTGTTCTTGAAAGTGATTGGTCCACACCAGAGACAGCTTTCTTTTGAGCCTCGACCCAATTGGTGTTTGACCAGAGGACGCCAAAAGGCGTCCACAGGTCAAAGACAATGCTGCACTATCAATGTAACGAGGGCTCGGGGTGAGCATCTACATCACTAGACCTCCTTAGTCAAAATATAATAATAGCCGTGAGCGGGAATCGAACTCTGGTCGCCAGGTTTGTAACGCAGAGCGCAAACCGCTGCACCACCGCTCCCCACACAGCTACATACAAAGATAACAAAAACAAAGGTCCCCCGTATAGCCTGTTGGGGCAAGTGCTGTTAGCGAGCACCTATGATGGCCAGCACGGCACACGAACGGGGTGGGTGGCCAACACCACGCCCTCTGTTCTCAGGGTCTCCATGTGACTCCACAGATCTCCATGCTGCAAGCCTTTGGGTCTGTATGCGATTATGGATCTTCATGCGAGTCATTGCTGACAGATGAGACCATCAGCTCACTACCCAAACTATAAATAAAACAATTGTTTTTATTGTAGCAGCGAACGGCCCCGCTGAGCTTGTACGGCTCTCTTTCAGAAGTGACCTGGCGATCACAAATGACGAAGTGGTTCGTCGTCGTCGTCGTCATCGTCACGTGGATGTTTATAGCAGCAGCCAAATCATCTGAACGCGCGACGTCGATTCTAAATGCGGAGGGAAAAACCGGAGAACCTGGAGAAAAATCCAAATGACCACGGGGAGAGAGAGAGACACGCAAACTACAAATATACAGCAGCAGGCGTCAGGGTCGTGATCTAACCCACGACCTCCTGCATACCAGGAGAGGTAGTTAACATCTAGCCACCGTGATAATGATGAGAAAGAGACGCACAGACTCCAAATATACAGCAGGCGTCAGGGTCGGGATCGAACCCACGACCTCCTGTACACCAGGCGAGATAGTTAACATCTCCTAGCCATCGTGATGATGATGAGAGAGAGAGAGACACGCAAACTCCAAATATACAGCAGCAGGCGTCAGTGTCGGGATCGAACCCACGACCTCCTGTACACCAGGTGAGGTCGTTAACATCTCCTAGCCATTGTGATGATGATGATGATGATAGAGAGAGAGACACGCAAACTCTAAATTTACAGCAGCGGACGTCAGGGTCGGGATCGAACCCACGACCTCCTGTACACCAGGCAAGGTAGTTAACATCTCCTAGCCACCGTGATGATGATGAGAGAGACACGCAAACTCCAAATATACAGCAGCAGGCGTCGGGGTCGGGATCGAACCCACGACCTCCCGTATACCAGGCGAGGTAGTTAACATCTCCTAGCCACCGTGATGATGATGATGAGAGAGAGACACGCAAACTCCAAATATACAGCAGCAGGCGTCAGGGTCGGGATCGAACCCACGACCTTCTGTATACCAGGCGAGGTAGTTGACATCTATGCTGGGGGTGAGGGGGGGTTGGGTGACTGTGTGAGGACCAGCGCGGTGTTTTGCGATGTCGTTAAGTTCACAACTAAGAAGCCGTAATGCGGTTGAGGTGGCTGCCCTGACTCGGACATTAAAAGCGATGAGCCAGCATCGTTGCGAGCCTGGGTTCCAATCCGGGTTGCAGCTGGTCACCAGCTGGTCACCAGCTGGTCACCAGGTGGTCACCAGGTGGTCACCAGCTGGTCACCAGGTGGTCACCAGCTGGTCACATGGTGGTCACCAGCTGGTCACCTGGTGACCAGCTGGTGACCAGCTGGTGACCACTTGGTGACCACCATGTGACCAGCTGGTGACCAGCTGGTGACCAGCTGGTGACCAGCTGGTGACCACCATGTGACCAGCTGGTCACCAGCTGGTCACCAGCTGGTCACCAGCTGGTCACCAGCTGGTCACATGGTGGTCACCAGCTGGTCACCAGCTTGTCACATGGTGTTCACGTGTATTCCGCTCTCTCTCTCGTGAGACCCAATCAGCTGTAAAGGCAGCGGTGGCAGCGTCATTGGTGAGCGGTGGGGGACGATGAGACCACAGATTTGCAAGGAGTGGCCTCACAGTTTTCGCAACTAAAAATGTGTGTTTTCTCCTGACGCTGTCGTTTCAGGGCGTGCGACAGGACCCTGGAGATTCTGCAGAAGAAACACGGGTTAAAGTTGGACCCCGGGACGGGGTGACGCGGATGGTGAAGTGAGTGTGAGTGTTAGTGAGTGAGAGTGAGTGTGAGTGTTTGTGAGTGTTAGTGAGTGTTTGTGAGTGTGTGAGTGTGTGAGTGTTGGTGAGTGTTAGTGAGTGTGAGTGAGTGTTGGTGAGTGTGAGTGAGTGTTGTTGAGTGTTGGTGAGTGTGTGTCTGTGTGTGTGGAGGTAGTGTAGCGGTTAGCACGCTGCGCTATGATCTCGGAGACCTGGGTTCGATTCCCGCTCATGGCTAACACCAGTGACGATTATCTGAACCGGTCCCGGGCCTCCCCTAGGTCGACTCAGCCTCAAATGAGTACCTGGTGCAGTGTGTAAACATCACCACTCGGGAGACAAAGGCGGTCGGGCGTGGTGCTGGCCACCCACCCCCTCGTGTACCGTTCCAGCCTTCATAGGTGCTTGCTAACAGCACTTGCCCCCACAGTCTGTTAAGGCTATACGGGGGATCTTTGTCTTTGTGTGTGGCGGGGGTGGGGGGTGTTGGTGGATCATGGGAGGATGGGTAACGAGCGAGGCTTCTCAGTGTCACTCCCCCTCTGCAAGCTTGTGCGGGTCACTCTTCTCTCCTCTCTGTTACATCACAGGCACCCGCAGCGGCACCGCACACGTCGGCACGGCTCGCGTGGACACGCTCCCAGCGCGACCGCGACCTCGTACCCCCCCCAGCCCCCCCAGCCCCGCTGTAATAAATATAATGTGGGGGGGGGGGGGGGGTAGAGCAAGCACGGTCGACAATAACGCGTGTGAGATGCGTACGCGGGCACACGGGGGGGGGGGTGGGGGGGGGTGGGGGGCTTGCAAAGATCGAGGCGCGTGGGTAGCGTCTGGAACAGAGGTCGCAAACGGGTTTTGATTCCTTACCCGTACCCGGCCGCACCAGGGTCGCAAACGGCTACCCGTACCCAGCTGTACCCGTACGGGTATCGGGTACCCGATTGCGACCTCTGGGATGAAGCCATGTTGCAGGCGCGGGTGGGTTGATACTAGGAACTTGAATTGTGAGAAGAGACAAGACGTTGGGAAATGAGTGACAAACGGTTACTCACCAGTGACTCACGGTCTACCCGTACCCGTACCCAGTCGGGTACGGGTAGCCGGGTATCGGGTAGGGTACGGGTATCGGGTAGGGTACGGGTATCGGGTAGTGTACGGGTATCGGGTAGGGTACGGGTATCGGGTAGGGTACGGGTATCGGGTAGGGTACGGGTATCGGGTAGGGTACGGGTATCGGGTACGGGTATCGGGTAGGGTACGGGTATCGGGTAGGGTATCGGGTAGGGTACGGGTATCGGGTAGGGTACGGGTATCGGGTAGGGTACGGGTATCGGGTAGGGTACGGGTATCGGGTATCGGGTACGGGTATCGGGTACGGGTATCGGGTAGGGTACGGGTATCGGGTAGGGTATCGGGTAGGGTACGGGTATCGGGTAGGGTACGGGTATCGGGTAGGGTACGGGTATCGGGTAGGGTACGGGTATCGGGTAGGGTACGGGTATCGGGTAGGGTACGGGTATCGGGTAGGGTACGGGTATCGGGTAGGGTACGGGTATCGGGTAGGGTACGGGTACGGGTATCGGGTAGGGTATCGGGTATGGTACGGGTATCGGGTATGGTACGGGTATCGGGTATGGTACGGGTATCGGGTAGGGTATCGGGTAGGGTACGGGTATCGGGTAGGGCACGGGTATCGGGTAGGGTAGACGGGTATCGGGTAGGGTAGACGGGTATCGGGTAGGGTACGGGTATCGGGTAGGGTAGGGTATCGGGTAGGGTACGGGTATCGGGTAGGGTAGACGGGTATCGGGTAGGGTAGACGGGTATCGGGTAGGGTACGGGTATCGGGTAGGGTACGGGTATCGGGTAGGGTACGGGTATCGGGTAGGGTACGGGTATCGGGTACGGGTATCGGGTATGGTACGGGTATCGGGTATGGTACGGGTATCGGGTAGGGTACGGGTATCGGGTAGGGTACGGGTATCGGGTAGGGTACGGGTATCGGGTAGGGTAGACGGGTATCGGGTAGGGTACGGGTATCGGGTAGGGTACGGGTATCGGGTAGGGTACGGGTATCGGGTAGGTAGGGTATCGGGTAGGTATCGGTAGGTAGGGTATGGGTATCGGGTAGGGTACGGGGGTAGGGTACGGGTATCGGGTAGGGTACGGGTATCGGGTAGGGTACGGGTATCGGGTAGGGTACGGGTATCGGGTACGGGTATCGGGTAGGGTACGGGTATCGGATACGGGTATCGGGTAGAGTACGGGTATCGGGTAGGGTATCGGGTAGAGTACGAGTATCGGGTTCCCGGTTGCGACCTCTGGTCTGGAAGCATCCAGCAGCATCCCCGATGCCTCGTGCCGGCGACGCTTCTCCAACGCGGCCGTAAAATGTTTTTAGCTCCCGAGCGCGGAGCGAGGAGCGGTTGTTGCCCCCCCGCCGTGACTTTTAGGAGGGCGGTGGCTGAGGCTCGCTTTATAGACTGGGCTGTGGGGGGGTGGAGTGGCTCGCTGGGGAAAAAAGCTGCGTTGGCTTGTAAACTCCTAAGGGTTACTTACGGGGGTTAATCATTGGCAATGCTGAGTGTGTGTGTCGGTGTGTGTGTGTGGGGAGCGGTAGTGTAGCGGTTGGTGCGGTGCGCTATGAACCTGGCGACCCGATTTCAATTCCCGCTCACGGCCAACACCAGTGACGATTATCTGAACTGGTCCCGGGCCTCCCCTAGGTCGACTCAGCCTCAAATGAGTACCTGGTGCGGTGTGTAAACATCGCCACTAGGGAGACAAAGGCGGTCGGGCGTGGTGCTGGCCACCCACCCCCTCGTGTGCCGTGCCGGCCTTCATAGGTGCTCGCTAACAGCACTTGCCCCAACAGTCTGTTGAGGCTACACGGGGGAATCTTTGTCCTCGCGTGAGTTTCTGAGTGTGCGTGTATCTGTTGCTCAGATTTGTGTAAAGAAACCGTCGGAAATGTTAATATAAAATGTCTTGCTTCTGCCTCTTGGGTGCGGGATGTGTATTTAAATAAACGTTGCTGATTTTTGTTTTGTTCCCATGTGCTTGAGGAGAACGTGTTTCTACGTTGAACTTCTTTCGCACCATACGTAGCCAACCGTGCTAATCGGAGGGGCGGGGGGAAGGACAACAAACTAAACACAGCAACAACAACAAGAAGCAGTTCTAAAGAAATGAGTTTGTCGATCTAGATTTAAAAGTGCATCAGCTCCCAGTGGCTTCCTTAATATCAGGAGAGCGTTCCAGACGGCCGCACGATGATGATGATGCGTCGTCATTGCCCACACTCATCCCCGTCTCGGCTCACTAGCTTGTCTCCGTGCTCTCAACTGGCTCCCCATCGCCAGCAGGGTCACATACGAGACCGCCTGCCTCTGCCACAATGCCTTCATATCCTCCTGCCCGCCGTACCTCTCTTCATTATTGACAACTTTCAGCTCAGCACACGGCAGATGCCTGCGCAGCGCCACTCACGACCTCCTCTTGATACCAAGATCCAGGATGGTCATGGCTATGCGCCGCTTCTCGGTGGCAGCCCCAACAGTCTGGAACGATATCCCTCTGCACGTTGGCAGCATCACCTCAATCGCCTCCTTCAAGAGAGACTTAAAAACTCACCTCTACAATCATGCTTTCGAGCGACTCTGAGCTTGGCTCCGCGCCTCTGAGTTGCGGCCACTACGTCTGCAAATTTGCGCGCGTTACAAATTGAACAATTATTACTATTATGATGCGGTGACCACCGCCATCTTTGTTCGATGGCCGAGCCAAAAGCCACCGCTGCTGCTGCTGCTGGGATTCCCGGAGTTGGCGTCGTGATGGTTTCTGCTCCTTGACGTTTTGTGTGTGGCTGCGTTGGCTGGGTCACGTAGCCCGCATGCCCAGCCACCGCATGCCTAAACAGCTTTTGTTCGGCCGGATCAAGGGGGCTTAACGGGCGCGGCACGGGCTAGAGAAGAGATGGAGTGATGTGGTACAGGAGGACGTGGAGCTGAGTGGACTTGCCGATGACTGGTACCAGCGGTGTCAAGATCGGCCTCTGTGGAGGAGGCTCGTGAAGGACGCTACTGGGCAGTTGGAGGCAGTCGCCCTCCAACAACAATGGAGGGCGGAGGAGCGACGCTCACAACAACGAGCGGAGCGCCGGGTGGTTAAAGCACAGCAAGTTGGCACAGTAGGGGGCACAGGTGGTGCATCAGCCAGTCGTCTCGGTCATCTCAGTCGACCCGTGGCACCTGGGTCTGCCCCGTGACCTCCTGCCAGCAGGCGTTCGACACTTCACGTGGCCTCAAGGTGCACATGGCCTGGCACAAGTGTCGTGGTGACGTCACCGCCACTTAGTGGAGAATGGCGGTTGTTGTTGTTGCACGGTATCTGCGTTCTCGTCTACGGGTTGTGCAGTGCGTCAGCACGTGCCGGGCAGACTTGTTGCCCCGTTCATTATAAAGGTTGTTGGGTTAGATCGCTTTATTATAAATGTGTTGCAACACTCCACCACCCGACATGGCCAATCAATAGAAACGTGTCGCGTTAACAAAACGCCAATTAGTCACTTCTTCAGAACCACCGGTGTGTTTGAAGAGTGAATCCACGACATTTAGAACTCGAGTTAGTACGACGTTTCGCTGGTAAATTCACATCCAACATCTTCAAGCGATTTTCCAGAATAGTGAAGCCACCCACGTGCTTCCGGTCTTAAATAGTGCCGGGTGACGTCATCGTTGTTGAACCCCATCAGGATTCGAGATCAGAAGCGGAGGTAGGGGGAGGGTTATTGTAAATTTATTATAGATCAGTCATCAGTTAATTAGTATGATTCCTCTATAAGGAATTGTAATATGTATTGTGCATTACTTAATAATACGCTTCCATGCTGCGCTGAGTCTGTAGCTATCACAGCGGTTTAAGTTATTTGTATTTTTCTCAATTTCTAAGTAGTCTTGGACAGTAATAATTAGTTTTGCATAATACTTCAACGTTATCAAAATCAATTGAATGTCCGTCTTGGCAAGCATGTTCTGCCACTGCTGATAGTTGTGTTTGAGATAATGTAATGTTCCTTTGGTGTTATTTTAGTCTTACGCGAATGTTACGTCCCGTCTGTCCAATATATAGCATTTACCACATAAGCAATTGATCCGATTTATACCTTCTGTTGATAGCTTCGGTAATCATCTTTAGTACAAGACACTAGTTTTTGAACTTTGTGGAACGCACCAAACCTCATTTTAATGTTTTGCTTTTGCAAAACACGGGCTAATTTGTCGGTAGTAACTCCCGAGATATATGGTATTCTAATTGTTTTGATAATCTTAACGGGACACATTTTTTTACTGATTGGCAGTGTCGGGTGGTGGAGGGTCGTGACACATTTATAAATAACGCGATCTCACCCAAAAACTTTATTATGACAAATACTGGTCACGAAAGCTTGCGACGTCTTACACATTCCTGCGGAGGGAGCTGGTAGGAACGTTGGGTTGCTCGGTCAATGGCCTGCAGGGTCAACGACGGCGTGGTGTATTCCGCAAATATGTCCGACTGTGAGGGCGGGCACAAGCCTGCGTGAGTAGGTTAAACGTTGAGTTTTATAAGGGCACCACGGGGTGACCAGCCCCTCCCCACCCAGCCCCACCCCTCCCACCCCCCACCCAGCCCCACCCCTACCACCCAGCCCCTCCCCACCCTCCCCTCTCCACCCAGTCCCACCCTTCCCATTTTTGGATGCACGACGGACGGACGGACACAATAATCCCCTGTGGGCTGGTGTAACCAGGAGGTTCCTACCAGTAGAACTGGTTGCCCTGTGCAGTGAGTCGGGCGTGACGGGCCGACTGGTTGGAAGAGGAGGAGGGGAGAATGGTGGCTCTGTGGCTACGGTGGGGGCCGACCTCCAGACCCAAAGATCATTCCTTCACTCGTCATTGTACATGTTAAATTTCGATGTAAAGCTTTCGTGACTGCAGGGATTCATCTTCTTGGTTCTTTCGGTAAAGTCACGTAGAAGGGAAATAATAAAATAATAAAAATAAAACATAATAAAATTATTCTCACGACGTTTCGGCCACAACGCAAGCAGCCGTCCTCAGGTGAAGAACAGGTCTGTCGGAAAGACAGCGTCTGAATGAAACACCACCAGGCTTGGAGCGTATATTTAAGCTGGGTTGGAGGGGGAAGGGCGCCTTGACAAAAGAATTTGCATATCAATAGGAATTTAGCATATTTATGGGAAATGCAGATATGGAATGCGTAGGAGGTGGGTGGGGGGTTTCAAAGTCATAATATGCCCGTGCATTATGCAAGATTAGCAGCATCAAAGGGAGGGATTAGGGTTAGCATTAATAAAGGGAAGGAATGTTAATAGTATGGAGCTGCAGTAACTAAACCAACACGTAAAAAAAAACTAAAGTATAAACTACATAAGTATCATCAGTATACTAAATATACTCTCCAATAAGCTGAGCTACTAATAGTAGCTCAGCTTATTGGAACGTCGTGAGAATTTTATTATGTTTTATTTTTATAATTTTATTATTTCCCTTCTACGTGACTTTACCGAAAGAACCAAGAAGATTGTACATGTTGTCAATGTTTCTGGTGTTTTGACCGTGGGAAGTCGCGCGCCCTATGGCGTTCGCTAAATGAATAAATCCGCGTGGCACTTTGCAAGCTGCAGAAAAAGACAATTTATTTCACCGGCACTCGAAAACCAAAGACACGTTTGATGGTTGTCCACTTTTAACTTTGCATTTGAACATTTTGAGACGAATTTCTTTCAAGCAGCGTCATCAGCAGCTGCAGCCTCGTTATAATCACCAACACTAACGTCAATATCTGCGTGAATTGAAAATTAAAAGGCAAACCCAAAAGCGGCAACTCCAACCTGTGAACCGTCCAGGGGTAGCGGTTCTCAACCTTTCGTGGCTACTGTGACCTCCTTGCTGAGTTTTGTTGCAACAGAGTAACCCCCAGTTTAACACGTAGCAGGCTTTCGCGACCAATATTATTCATAATTCACTGGTCAACACACTTTTTCTGGCATAAGGTATTTTAAGGGGTTTAATGTAATTTTGGGGTGCTGATTCCAAATCTGGCATCCGTTTTTTCTCTATCACATCGGGTTTTTGAGATATCAAATATTGCATTTTAATTAAAAACGGCGGAAGAAAAATATTATATAAATGTAGATATCTACATAAAATGATATTATAAACACACTATCCTAAAAATACAGCACCATATTTTAACACTAAAGCAGTCACTGACTCGCAACAACTTGCAATCATAAGTGACAGAGTTAATTTAGGGTAAAATCAATGAAAATGGGGTATGCCGATAGCATAAAAATGAGATGTGATAGAGCAAATCTGAGATCAGATTTGGAATCGGCACCCTGAAATTAGTCTAGAACAGCTGCAAAAGTCCAGGCCAGATTTACTGCAATACACCCGTACTTGGAGGGGCCAAAGGCGAGTGTACGATAGATATTTTCACGCATTGATGAATCGCCTCGTGTAACCCCAGGTGTTCTGCGTATCCCCCGGTTGAGAACCACTGATATAGTGAACCGATGTCTCTCATCAATGATATATAATTTCACTGGTCGTGGCCGTGAGCGGGAATCGAACTCGGGTCGCCAGGTTCGTAGCGCAGCGTAGCGCTACCCGCTACACTACCGCTCCCCCTACCACCACCATCACCAACCCCACTGTTGTACTATCATCAGCATCAAGACTGCCATCCACATCGTTATCATCATCATCATCCCAGCCGGCAGACTCATCGCGACCATTGATGGATGTTAGCACAGTCACGAACACCGCCTTCATCGCCGTTACCACCACCGCTCATCGACAACAGCACGCTCGCGATGTCATTCTGATCGTCTCCAAAGGCAACATCTGAACCCATCACTGCCATCAACAACCACCACCGCTGCCACCATTTTGAACGCCACCATCATTTACCTACAGCGTGACTTCTAAAACTAAAGAAAAACTGATATCAGCACCAACGCCACCCCGGAATGCTCCCCACCACATCATCACCCCCCCCCCCCCCCCCCGTCAAACGCCCCCTCCCATCTGCCTGCTCCTCTTAAACACCTCCGACACAGGGGGCAGCAGTTCAAAGGTCACCGCGGCTACTGCCCCCTCACCCACCACGCCTGGCTTGGCCCTGCCGGGTACCAGCCTCCACCGCCTAGTCCCAGCGGCCGCGACTTCACCGCCACCACCGCCACCACCACCGCCACCGCCACCACCACCGCCACCACCACCACCGGCCCCGCCGCGGATGCCGTCGCCTCCTTCCCCGTGACAGGTCACCCGGAGGCTGGGGAGCAGCCGGGGCAGAGCCGGGGAGAGCGGAGGAAGTCGTCCCGCCGGGGTTTCCCTCGCCGGGCAGGGTCCGGGGAGCTGGGGGGAGACGTGGGGAGGGACCTTGAAGGGAAGAGAGTTTGGGGGGGGAGATGACGGGAGAGTTGGAGTGAAGCTCTTTGCGAGGTGCACGACGTTACCATCCCTGTCTACCCCTTATCGGTGCCCCCTAACCTTATTACAGGCTAATTCAGACCTTATTGGTCACCCCGTGCCCCCTATGAATCTCAACGTTCATCCGACAAAGTCCCATCACGAGGGAGAAACACAAAACACATTTTTTATTCCATAATAGAGGTTTTTTGGGTTATTATTTTGGTTGCCCATTTTGAAACGGCTGTACGCCGTACGGACCTGAAAATTGAATTTTCCTGTACAAGAATACGGGGTAAACCATATGGTTTGACAGGTATGCTGTATCTCTGTATCTCTATGTGTATCTATGTATCTCTCTGTGTCTCTATCAATCTCTGTGGGTCTCTATGTATCTCTATTGGTCTCTGTGGATCTATGTGGGTCTCTGTCTATATTATATCATTTAACCTCTTATCAGTGCCTACTTTATGACAGACCAATTCAGACGTGATTGGTCACCCCGTGCCCCTACGTTCATCCCACAAAGTCTCATCACAAGAGAGAAACACACACAAATGGGTATAAAAAAATGTGCCCGTATTGAAACGTCTGTATGCCGTATGAACCTGAAAACTTAAATTTCCCTGTACAAGAATACGGGGCAAACTGTATGGGTTGACACGGTGTGAGTCTGTTTTGTGAGTCGATGGGAACTGTACAAGTCTATGGGTTGATTCTAGATTTGAAGCTTTCGTGACTGCAAGGATTCATATTCTTAGTTTTTTTCGGTAAAGTCACGTAGGTAAAAAAATTAAAATTAATAAAATAAAAATAAAATAAAAATCACGGCGTTTCGGAGGCAACACAAGCTTCCGTCTTCAGGTGGAACCATAACACAGCACGATAGCTGTATCACGCAAGAGGGTTGAGTGCAAGTCTGGAGCAGCTTTCTCATCTCTCTCTCGCTCTCTCTGTCGATGTGATTCGCCGCTGAGAGCCAAGCCCCGCGAATAACGAGGGAATACTGCCTTCTTGGTTCTTTCGGTAAAGTCACGTAGAAGGGAAGTAATAATCACCTGAAGACGGCTGCTTGCGTTGTAGCCGAAACGTCGTGAGAATTATTTTATTTTATTATGTTTTATTTTTATTATTTTATTACTTCCCTTCTACGTGACTTTACCGAAAGAACCAAGAAGATGAATCCCTGCAGTCACGAAAGCTTTAAATAGAGGGATTACTGAGCGCGCACATCTGAGTCCGTTGTACGAGAATCATCGTCAATTTCAAGTTACGGACGGCCAGATGGATGGACAGAGCCACGGGCCAGTGGTTTGGCCACCTCACCTGGGTCGCTCTCGTTAGCCGGCGCTGCCGATTTATCGGCTGCCTCTCGGCCGCTTTGGTGGTCGACATTCGTCTGTAGATCATGGGGGTTGCCACGATTCCCGCGGGGATTCCGCGGATTTCTCCTCCGCCGCTGCCACCGCTGCCGCGGATTTCTCCTCCTTGTTCGCCCCGGTTGGGATGTAGAAGCGGGTTTTCACGGTCACCTAGGAAATGAGATTGTTGGGGGGGGGGGGGGGGGAGTGGGGGTGTTTGTTGTTGTTGTTGACAGCAGGATTTTTGCCACCTTTGTGGGGTTTTTTGTTGTTAGTGAAAGTTTAATCTTCTTGGTTCTTTCGGTAAAGTCGCGTAGAAGGGAAATAATAAAATAATAAAAATAAAACAATAAAATAATTCTCACGACGTTTCGGCCACAACAGCGTCTGAAAGACTTGTTCAGACCTGTTCATCACCTGAGGACGGCTGCTTGCGTTGTGGCCGAAACGTCGTGAGAATTATTTTATTATGTTTTATTTTTATTATTTTATTATTTCCCTTCTACGTGACTTTACCGAAAGAACCAAGAAGATGAATCCCTGCAGTCACGAAAGCTTTAAATCGAAAGTTTAATCGTTTTGTGTTTATATACACCGTACCTTGTCAACCCATACGGGGCTCGCCCCGTATTCTTGTACGGGGATATTGAGTTTTCAGATCCAGACAGGGTACAGGCGCTTCAATACGGACAACAACAAAAAAATATATATTTTTGTTTGTGTTTCTCCCTCGTGATGGGACTTTGGAGGATGAACGTTGAGATTTATAAGAAGCACGGGGTGACCAATGCGGTCTGAATTGGTCTATAATAAGGTAGGGGGCACTGCTAATGGGTTGACAGGTATGTATATATACACACACACAGGGTGCTTAAATTTGTTTTAACACTTATATGGGATTCTAGATTTGAAGCTTTCGTGACTGCAAGGATTCATACTCTTAGTTCTTTCGGTAAAGTCACCATGTAGGTAAAAAAATGAAATTAATAACAAAAAATAGTTTTATTATTTTATTTTTATTAATTTTCAATTTCATTTTTTTTTACCTACGTGACTTTACCGAAAGAACTAAGAGTACTTATATGGGACTATAGTTTTTGATGGAAAAATAACGGATAATACACTGTGACATGATAACAAAATGTATGTTCTAAGAGTCTCTGTGCTTAGTCGTAGAGTTTTACCCTTTTAAACTGGTACAAAACTGACACCTTTATTCAAGGCATCATGTTTGCAATAACCACAACACAAGTAGTCAAAAAAGCAAACAAAAGGAAGCAACTCTGATCATGATAACAATATGCACTGTCCTTGAAGTTGATTGGTCCACACCCGAGACGGCTTTCTTTAGAGCCTAGTCCCCATTGCTGTTGGACCAGATGACACCAGAAGGCGTACAACTCAAACACAGTGCAATATCAGAGTCTTGAGAGCTCGGGGTAAGCATTTACACTACGAGACATCTCCTTTACCAGTGGCAAAATATAGTCGACTATGTTTTGCCACTGGTAAGAGATCTCATAGTGTAAACACCTCCGTGCTAGTTCGAGAACGGATTCCACGGAAGCTGATCTTTATTTGACGTTGCCAGGTATGCAATGCCCCCCCCCACCCACTGCGCTGCTACCTAGCTCCTCATTGCAGGATCCACCACAAGTGATAGCTCAACGCTGCGGGCTTTTACTGGTAGGAGCCCACTGGTTCCTTTTTTTTTTATTACTGTAATGTTCAAGCTTGCTTAGGGATTTAGAAGAAACATCATAAAAGGATGGTAAAAAAGCGACATGATGAACGGAGCCCACTGGTTCCACCAGCTCACAAGGGATTATTGTGTCCGTCCGTCCATCGTACAGGGAGGGGCTGGGTGGGGAGGGAGGGGCTGGGTGGGAAGGGAGGGAGGGGCTGGGTGGGGTGGGGAGGGTGGGGAGGGGCTGGGTGGGGAGGGTGGGGCTGGGTGGGGGGTGGGAGGGGTGGGGCTGGGTGGGGAGGGGTTGGTCACCCCGTGGTGCCCTTATAAAACTCAACGTTTAACCTACTCACGCCGGCTTGTGCCCGCCCTCACAGTCGGGCATATTTGCGGAATACACCACGCCGCCGTTGACCCTGCAGGCCATTGACCGAGCAACCCAACGTTCCTACCAGCTCCCTCCGCAGCAGGACAATGTGTTCGCGTGGAAGAACAGAGATGGGAAGACGGAGGATGAGGTTCTGTCGTAGGACGCGCTGCGAACGATCGTAAGCGACCGGGGAGTAGAATCCGACGCGGAGTTGTTGTTGTTGTTGTTCTTGTCGATCTTATCTAGGATCTTATATCGCGTTTTTTGTTAAAGGGGCCGTCCATAAATGACGTCACGCGATTTTGGACGATTTTTGACCCCTCATCAGGTGTGAAAACCACAGCAAGAAAATTTTAAAAAAAGTGGCGGTGCTGTGGTTTTCACACCCGATGATGATTGCTTGTGTTGCAATCGAAACGTCGTGAGAATTTAATTTTTTTATATTTATTATTTTATTACTTCCCTTCTACGTGACTTTACCGAAAGAACCAAGAATATGAATCCCTGCAGTCACGAACGCTTTAAATCGAAAAATAAAACGTCACTAAAAAAATATGTAACGTTTACTGATTTTTAAATCCTTTATATTAAGTTCGCTTGCTTGCTTGCGCGCTTACGACCGTGCAAATCTTTCGGTCGTTTTTTAACCCACTTCCCGTGATCCAATCGAGCTAACATTTTGGCACACAGACTCGTTGTGCGTGACAATTAATTTTCGTGAAAAAAAAATTTGCTAAAATGTAACACTTTTTAGGAAAAAAAAATTATATTTAATTACCAATTGCTTAATGCTGCCAGGCAATCATCTGACCCATAGGTGGCAGCCATCTCAAGCCAGAGGACGAGATGACTCTAGCCGCCACGCATATCAAGAATTTATAGTGAAAAACTTAGTTTTTACGGGTTAATTTTTTAAAATATAATTAACATGAAAACATTGAAAACGTGCAACTCTTGTCTCTCTCGCACGTCGTCACCTCTGTCTGCGTCAACGGCCACGAGGTGCTCAGTTTGAATTTCGTTGCTGCCGCCCGATTGGTCGCTGGGCGCACGTGGCCGCTCTGTGATTGGCTGGGAGGGTCCTCCGGGGTCAACGGCGCGGGGTCCCTTCCGATCGAGGGGGTCCCCGTCAAAGAGCGTCTTCTTCACCGTTTTCTCAGTCTGCAAGAACACGCGTTAATAGCGGGAGGATCTCTGGACTGCACATTGCACTACATCGCACTACCACACTGGTTTAAATATCTTATTTCTTTAAATACTTTATTTAAATAATATTTACATTTTAAAAATTCTTGACTGTTGTTTATTTTAAGTTTATTACATTTTTGATTATTTATCTTGTGTTGATCGCCGATTGTTTAGTTTATTTATGTCTGTTAATTGTGATTACTTTTTTAATTGCTTGGTTGCACCGTGGGACCAAGAGAGAGGACTGTAATTTCATCTGTGTTGTATGTCATGCATGTAACACACTTGACAATAAAGTGACTTTAAGACTTAAGACTTTTAAGGTCTCGTGCTTGATTACAGTGGTCAACACACTTTTTTCTGGTTAAATTTCGATTTAAAGCTTTCGTGACTGCAGGGATTAATCTTCTTGGTTCTTTCGGTAAAGTCACCACGTAGAAGGGAAATAATAAAACTTTACCGAAAGAACCAAGAAGACACTTTTTCTGGCATAAGGTATTCCAACGGTTTTAAGGTAATTTTGGGGTGCTGATTCCAAATCTGGCATCAGTTTCTGTCTATCACATCAGTTGTTTGAGATATCAAATATTGCATTTTCAATAAAAACTGCAGAAGAAAAATATGAAATAAATGTGGATATCTACATAAAATGATATTATAAACACACTATCCTAAAAATACAGCACCATATTTTAACACTAAAGCAGTCACTGACTCGCAACAACTTGCAATCATAAGTGACAGAGTTAATTTCGGGTAAAATCAATGAAAATGGGGTATTCCGATAGCGTAAAATGAGATGTGATGGAGCAAATCTGAGATCAGATTTGGAATCAGCACCCTGAAATTAGTCTAGAACAGCTGCAAAAGTCCAGTCCAGAAAAAATGTTTTTTTTTGTTGATCACAAAAAGTCAGACCCCCCCCCTTCAAATATGACATCACAAAGCTCTGCCCCCTCCCCCCCTCCCCCAAATAAAACATGCTTCAAATCGCTTTAAACTATCGTCGCCTCGAAGTGCACCTAGCCTGGCACACGTACCGTGGTGACGTCACAGGCACTTCGTTGTGCTGCTGTTGCGTTTGCATGTACCAGTTCACTATTCGCGTGTGTCTACTATTGTTTTTAATCACGGTTTGCTGAGCAATTGGCGAGATGTTAACTCCCTCGCCTGGTGTACAGGAGATCATGGGTTCGATCCCCGCCCTTGACGCCCGCCGCTGTATACGATGGTGACTTTGTAGGATGAACGTTGAGATTTCTAAGGGCACGGGGGTGACCAATACGGTCTAGATTTGAAGCTTTCGTGACTGCAAGGATTCATGTTCTTAGGTTTTTTCGGTAAAGTCACGTAGGAAGCTTGTGTTGCCTCCGAAACGTCGTGATTTTTATTTAATTTTTATTTGACTTTTATTAATTTTATTTTTTATTTTTTTACCTACGTGATTTTACCGAAAAAAACCTAAGAATGTGACTAATACGGTCTGAATTGGTCTACAATAAGGTAGGGCACTGACAACGGGTTGATAGGCATGTAGTAGTATAGTAGTGTAGTGAATAGTGTAGTGAATAGTGTAGTGTATAGTAGCATTCCTGTCAACCCATTCGGTTTACCCGTATCCTTGTACAGGGAAATTGAGTTGACAGGTCCATACGGTGTACAGCCGTTTCAATGCCGGCAAAAAAATATAAAAATGTTGTCTATTTGTTTGTGTTTCTCCCTTGTGATGGGATCTTGTAGGTTAACATTTGAGACTTATAAGGGGCACGGGGTGACCAGTAAGGGCTGCATTGGTCTACAATAAGGTAGGGCACTGATAAGGGATTGACGGCTACGCACACATCGGGGTCACCGTCACGAAGGGTCATTGTCGTCAACTCCACGTGACAGATGTGACAGGGCGGTAATCTAAATGTGCCAATTAGTATACTATTTCAGCACTAACCGGTTGTGTGCTGGAGAGTAAACCCACAACGTTTACAATTATAGTGTAGTGTATAGTGTAGTATACTAGTACAGCACTAACCGGTTGTGTGTTGGAAAGTAAACCCACTACATTTACAATTATAGTGTAGTGTATAGTGTAGTATACTAGTACAGCACTAACCGGTTGTGTGTTGGAAAGTAAACCCACTACTTTACAATTATAGTGTAGTGTATAGTGTAGTATACTAGTACAGCACTAACCGGTTGTGTGTTGGAAAGTAAACCCACTACTTTACAATTATTGTGTAGTGTATACTGTAGTGTACTAGTACAGCACTAACCGGTTGTGTGCTGGAAAGTAAACCCACTACGTTTACAATTATAGTGTAGTGTATAGTGTAGTATACTAGTACAGCACTAACCGGTTGTGTGTTGGAGAGTAAACCCACTACATTTACAATTAGAGTGTAGTGTATAGTGTAGTATACTAGTACAGCACTAACCGGTTGTGTGCTGGAGAGTAAACCCACTACATTTACAATTATAGTGTAGTGTATAGTGTAGTATACTAGTTCAGTACTAACTGGTTTTGTGTTGGAGAGTAAACCCACTACATTTACAATTATAGTGTAGTGTATAGTGTAGTATTCTAGTTCAGCACTAACCGGTTGTGTGTTGGAGAGTAAACCCACTACATTTACAATGATAGTGTAGTGTATAGTGTAGTATACTAGTTCAGCACTAACTGGTTGTGTGTTGGAGAGTAAACCCACTACATTTACAATGATAGTGTAGTGTATAGTGTAGTATACTAGTTCAGCACTAACCGGTTGTGTGTTGGAGAGTAAACCCACTACATTTACAATTATAGTGTAGTGTATAGTGTAGTTTACTAGTTCAACACTAACCGGTTGTGTGTTGGAAAGTAAACCCACTACATTTACAATTATAGTGTATAGTGTAGTATACTAGTACAGCACTAACTATTTGTGTGTTGGAGAGTAAACCCACTACATTTACAATTATCGTGTAGTGTATAGTGTAGTATTCTAGTTCAGCACTAACCGGTTGTGTGTTGGAGAGTAAACCCACTACAACATTTACAATGATAGTGTAGTGTATAGTGTAGTATACTAGTTCAGCACTAACTGGTTGTGTGTTGGAGAGTAAACCCACTACATTTACAATTATAGTGTAGTGTATAGTGTAGTATACTAGTTCAGAACTAACCGGTTGTGTGTTGGAGAGTAATCTAACTTCAATATTTACAATTTGTTACAAGTACAGCACTAACCGGTTGTGTGCTGGAGAGTAAACCCACTACATTTACAATTATAGTTTAGTGTATAGTGTAGTATACTAGTTCAGAACTAACCGGTTTTGTGTTGGAAAGTAAACCCACTACATTTACAATTATAGTGTAGTGTATAGTGTAGTTTACTAGTTCAACACTAACCGGTTGTGTGTTGGAAAGTAAACCCACTACATTTACAATTATAGTGTATAGTGTAGTATACTAGTTCAGCACTAACCGGTTGTGTGCTGGAGAGTAAACCCACTACATTTACAATTATAGTGTAGTGTATAGTGTAGTATACTAGTTCAGCATTAACCGGTTGTGTGCTGGAGAGTAAACCCACTTCATTTACAATTTTAGTACTGTGACGTTTCACCGGTAATTACAACAACAACAACAACCAGCCTCATCAGGCAACAGTCAGAGAGTTGTGGAGAAATCCTCTTCCTGTTTTGGTCTTCAACAGACGACGGGGGGTATAAATGTGATGTCGTCATTTGTAAGGCAATCAGGTGCGAAGGCCAGAGAGGCGGGGGGGGGGGGACGACTTAATGTAGTAATACAAATTACAATGGATATCCATTACTGGTTGGGTTATTCATAGGACAATCAACAAACATAATGTGCACGCACAATACTATTATCATCATCATCATGAAGGAGACAACGGGAGGGCTGTACCCTCGCCCTCCGACGCTCCCTCTGGCACAGCAGGAAGTAGGTGGTGAGCAACGCCCCGCTCTGATTGGCCGACACCGCTGCTGCCACCTCTGCGGGCCACACGCCCATCGAGTCGGCCATGATGCGGAGCACGTGGGCGTCCAGAGGCTCCGGCCTAAGAACGGAAGGAAAGAGAACAACAACAACAACAACAACGACGACGACAACAACAACAATAACAACAACCACCACCCCGAGCAACAGAGCACAGCAAGCATTCTAGATTTGAAGCTTTCGTGACTGCAAGGATTCATATTCTTAGGTTTTTTCGGTAAAGTCACGTAGGTAAAACATTAAAATTAAGCAAGCATCCCCGTTGGCACACAAGAGGGGGAATTCGCACGACGGTCGACAGCTCGGAGCGACGACCGACGTGGAAGACGCAGCGAGGAGCGAGGATCGCAAAAGGCTCGAGGAGTAGCGGCGCATCGGTGGCATAGTGCGGAGTTTGACCTCTCATGTGGAGGGGGTGGGGCATGGGGTAGGGCTTTTGACCCTCGCATTAGGAATCCGTGGGTGCGTATAATACAACAAAAATGTATCTTCATCGGAAGCTGCTGTCGATGAATTAATCAACGTGTCCCAGTTTGGGGATGGTGGACTCGGGGTGGAGTGTCTTGGTGGGTACCTGGAGGGTGGACACTGGGGGTGGACACTGGGGGTGGAGTGCCTTGGTGGGTACCTGGAGGGTGGACACTGGGGGGGTGGAGTGTCTTGGTGGAGCCAGGCGTCCGTGAGGGCCTCGCGGGCCGAGGGCCGCAATGCAGGGTCCGGATTGAGCAGCGACTTCGTGAATCGGACAGCGTCTGAGTGGACATCAACAACAACAACAACATCAACATCGACAACAACAACATCAACATCGACAACAACAACAACAACATCGACAACAACATCTTCGAGTTAACAACAACATCACCATCTCTGAGTGGACATCAACAACAACAACATCAACAACAACATCGACAACAACAACATCAACAACACCATCTTCGAGCTAACAACAACAACATCACCATCTCTGAGTGGACATCAACAACAACAACATCAACAACAACATCGACAACAACAACATCAACAACACCATCTTCGAGCTAACAACAACAACATCACCATCTCTGACTGGACATCAACAACAACAACAAGAGCAACATCTTCGCGTGGATTGGGCCACAAATGATAGCTCAACAAAGTGGTGTATCACGTGCAAATTTTTTGACATGTATTTAAACATGGAGGGGAAAACCCCGAGGACCCGGAGAAAAAATCCACGCGACCACGTGGAGAGAGAGACACACAAACACCAAATATACAGCAGCAGGCGTCAGGGTCTGGATCAAACCCACGACCTCCTGTATACCAGGCGAGGTAGTTAACATCTCCTAGCCACCGTGATGATGATGAGAGAGAGAGACACGCAAACTCCAAATATACAGCAGCAGGCGTCAGGGTCGGGATCGAACCCACGACCTCCTGTATACCAGGCGAGGTAGTTAACATCTCCTAGCCACCGTGATGATGATGAGAGAGAGAGACACGCAAACTCCAAATATACAGCAGCAGGCGTCAGGGTCGGGATCGAACCCACGACCTCCTGTATACCAGGCGAGGTAGTTAACATCTCCTAGCCACCGTGATGATGATGAGAGAGAGAGACACGCAAACTCCAAATATACAGCAGCAGGCGTCAGGGTCGGGATCGAACCCACGACCTCCTGTATGCCAGGCGAGGTAGTTAACATCTCCTAGCCACCGTGATGATGAGAGAGAGAGAGACACGCAAACTCCAAATATACAGCAGCAGGCGCCAGGGTCGGGATCGAACCCACCACCACCTCCCACCCCTAGGTCGACTCGGCCTTAAACCAGGCGGAGGTGGACGGACGCGCTCGCGGGTGTTACCTGCGGACAGGTGAGCGGGTATGGGGTTCATGCTGTCGGTGAGGATCTTGTTGAGCAGCGCTCTGATGTTGAAGGGCTCCACGGTGAACGGCAGCGTCCCGGTGAGCATCACGAACAGGCTCACTCCGCTGCGTGGTGGAGACAAGGGGGCGACAAGGCGACAGAGTGGCCGGCTGTCGGGGGGACCGACTCCTTGCCGAGGGTCAGAGGTCGCAAACGGGGTTTGATTCATTACCCGGACCCGGCCACATCAGGGTTGCAAATTTGTACCCGTACCCGGCCGGGTATGGGTACCCATTCCCTACCCGTACCCTACCCGAAATGAGTGACAAACGGTTACTCACCAGTGACTCACGGCCTACCCGTACCCGTACCCGGCCGCACCAGGGTCGCAAACGGCTACCCGTACCCGTACCCGGCCGAGTACGGGTAGCCGGGTATCGGGTAGGGTACGGGTATCGGGTACCCGGTTGCGACCGCTGCCACTAGGGTTTTTTTATTTTTTCCGCAACGGCCGAGGCCAGGCGCAGGGCGGCAACTCCCCGCGTCGCGTCTCCAGGTCGGGTCACGCCACGAGTCGTCAGGAGCAGGAGCGGAGTCGCCTTTGTCTCCCTAAAGCCGGCCCGGGTGAGCGACCCTATAGGTCGCCGTGTGACTCTATAGGTATGTGTGTGACCCTATAGGTAACCGTGTAAGTCTATAGGTCTCCGTGTGACCCTATAGGTCTCCGTGTGACTCTATAGGTATGTGTGTGACCCTATAGGTAACCGTGTAAGTCTATAGGTCTCCGTGTGACCATATAGGTCTCCGTGTGACTCTATAGGTATGTGTGTGACCCTATAGGTAACCGTGTAAGTCTATAGGTCTCCGTGTGACCATATAGGTCTCCGTGTGACTCTATAGGTATGTGTGTGACCCTATAGGTAACCGTGTAAGTCTATAGGTCTCCGTGTGACCATATAGGTCACCGTGTGACCCTATATGTCTCTGTGCGACTCTATAGGTCTCCTTGTGACCATATAGGTCTCCGTGTGACTCTATAGGTATGTATCTGACACTATAGGTAGCCGTGTGACCTTATAGGTTTCTATGTAACTCTGTGAGTCTTCGTGTGACTCTATAGGTTTCTGTGTGACTCTATAGGTCTCAGTGTGACCCTATAGGTATCTATGTGATCCTGTGAGTCTCTATGTGAGTCCATCGGTCACTATATGAGCCTGTGGGTCTCTGTGTGAGTCTGCGGGATTTGTGGGAGTCTACGGGTCTCTACATGAGTTTACGGGTCTCTGGGTGAGTTTAGGGGTCTCTGTGTGAGTCTACGGGTCTCTGTGTGAGTCTATGGGTCTCTGTGTGAGTCTGTGGGCACTGTGGGAGTCTATGAGTCTACGTGTCTCTGTGTGAGTCTATGGGTCTCTATGTGAGTCTATGGGTCTCTATGTGAGACTACGGGTTTCTGTGTGAGTCTGCGGGTCTCTACGTGAGTCTCCGGGTCTATGTGGGAGTTTATGAGTCTACGTGTCTCTATGTGAGTCTATGAGTCTCTATGTGAATCTATGGGTCTCTATGTGAGCCTACGGGTCTCTGTGTAAGCCTACGGGTCTTTGCGTGAGTCTACGGGTCTCTGTGTGAGATTACAGGTCTCTGTGTGAGTCTAGGGGTCTCTGTGTGAGATTACGGGTCTCTGTGTGAGTCTATGGGTCTCTGTGTGAGTCTGCGGGCTCTGTGGGAGTCTATGAGTCTACTGGTTTCTGTATGAGTCGTCGGGTCTCTACGTGAGTCTACGGGTCTCTATGTGAGTATATGGGTCTCTATGTGAGCCTACGGGTCTCTGTGTGAGCCTACGGGTCTTTGTGTGAATCTACGGGTCTCTGTGTGAGTCTACGGGTCTCTGTGTGAGTCTAGGGATATCTGTGTGAGACTGCGGGTCTCTGTGTGAGTTTATGGGTCTCTATGTGAGTTTATGGTCTCTGTGTGAGTCTGCGGGCACTGTGGGAGTCTATGAGCCTACTGGTCTGTGTTAGTCTATTGGTCTCTGTGTGAGTCTATGGGTCTCTGTGTGAGTCTATGAGTCTCCGTGTGAGTCTACGGGTCTCCGTGTGAGTCTATGGGCCTCTGTGTGAGCCTACGGGTCTCTGTCTGAGTCTGTGAGTCTCTATGGGAGTCTACGAGTCTCTATGTGAGTCTACAGGTCTCCGTGTGAGTCTACGAGTCTCTATGTGAGTCTACGGGTTTTTGTGTGAGTCTACGAGGTCTCTGTGTGAGTCTACTGGTCTCCGTGTGAGTCTACGGGTCTCTGTGGGAGTCTACGGGCCTCTGTGTGAGTTTGTGGTCTCTGTGTGAGTCTGCGGGCACTGTGGGAGTCTATGAGTCTACTGGTCTCTGTGTGAGTCTACTGGTCTCTGTGTGAGTCTATGGGTCTCTGTGTGAGTCAATGGGTCTCTGTGTGAGTCTACTGGTCTCTGTGTGAGTCTATGGGTCTCTATGTGAGTCTATGAGTCTACTGGTCTCTGTGTGAGTCTATGAGTCTCCGTGTGAGTCTACGAGGTCTCTATGTGAGTCTACGAGGTCTCTATGTGAGTCTACGGGTCTCTGTGTGAGTCTACGGATCTCCGTGTGAGTCTACGAGGTCTCTATGTGAGTCTACGAGGTCTCTATGTGAGTCTACGAGTCTCTGTGTGAGTCTACGGGTCTCTGTGTGAGTCTACGGGTCTCCGTGTGAGTCTACGAGGTCTCCGTGTGAGTTTACGGGTCTCCGTGTGAGTCTACGTGTTTCCGTGTGAGTCTACGTGTCTCTATGTGAGTCTACGGGTCTCTATGTAAGTCTACGGGTCTCCGTGTGAGTCTTCGTGTCTCTGTGTGAGGACCCTGGTTTAACCACCGCCATCGGCTGAGACCCGGATAGGAACCGAGACTCTGAGCGGTGCCGGCCGAGTGCCTCCGCCGTCTCCCAGCGGTCTAACCACCAGAGGTCGCAACCGGGTACCCGATACCCGTACCCTACCCGATACCCGGCTACCCGTACCCGGCCGGGTACGGGTAGCTGTTTGCGACCCTGGTGCGGCCGGGTACGGGTACGGGTAGGCCGTGAGTCACTGGTGAGTAACCGTTTGTCACTCATTTCCCAACGTCTTGTCTCTTCTCACAATTCAAGTTTCTAGAATCAACCCACCCGCGCCTGCAACATGGCTTCATCCCAGAGGTCGCAATCAGGTACCCGATATCGGTACGGGTACGGCCGGGTACGGGTACCCGTTTGCGACCCTGGTGTGGCCGGGTACGGGTACTGGGGGTAAGGAATCAAAACCTGTTTGCGACCTCTGCTAACCACCCCCTGGGCCGCAGTCCCCGTGGTTCTGTTGCGTGCGGACGAATGTTTACAAGAGAGACGCAAACAAAGACAAAGGTCCCCCGTGTAGCCTCCACAGACAGTTGGGGCAAGTGCTGTTAGCGAGTAGCACCTAAACAAAGACAAAGGTCCCCCGTGTAGCCTTGACAGACAGTTGGGGCAAGTGCTGTTAGCGAGTAGCACCTAAACAAGGACAAAGTTCCTCCGTGTAGCCTCCACAGACAGTTGGGGCAAGTGCTGTTAGCGAGTAGCACCTAAACAAGGACAAAGTTCCTCCGTGTAGCCTCCACAGACAGTTGGGGCAAGTGCTGTTAGCGAGCACCTACGAAGGCCGGCATGACACACGAGGGGGTGGGTGGCCAGCACCACGCCCGGCCGCCTTTGTCTCCCCAGTGGCGATGATTGCACACCGCACCAGGTACTCATTTGAGGCCGAGTCGACCTAGTTGGTGGCCCAGGACCGGTTCAAATAATCGTCACTGGGTGTTGGTCGTGAGCGGAAATCGACCCCGGGTCGCCGGGTTCGAAGCGCAGCGCGCTGACCGCTGCACCACCGCTCCCCCACACACACAGCGAGCCGCCAATGATTAAACAGACTTCATTAAAACTCAAAACCTCGACCTGCCCAGACTAGCAGCGCCATCAATCATTATCTCGTTAACGCAGCTCGCAGCTGATTTAAGAGCCGTGTTTATTCTTATTGCTGCTGCTTTAATGCGCGAAACGTGGTCATTCAATTGGAAGATGTAGTGGGCGGTCGAGCACCGGTTACACATTTCGCCACTGATGTTCGCCGGGGTGGTGGTCACGCCCGGTGGATAAAGATCCTCCTGAGCACGAGGTCTCCGTCTCGGAAGTGGAGCGCAGTGCGCTAACCACTGCGCCACCGCTCCCCGTGTCTTGCACTTGCTTAACAGACTGTTGGGGCAAGTGCTCTAAGCCATTAGCACCTACACAGATAAAGTTCCCCCGTGTAGCCTTCACAGACTGTTGGGGCAAGTGCTGTTAACCAGTAGCACCTACACAGGCAAAGTTCCCCCGTATAGCCTTAACAGACTGTTGGGGCAAGTGCTGTTAACCAGTAGCACCTACACAGACAAAGTTCCCCCGTATAGCCTTAACAGACTGTTGGGGCAAGTGCTGTTAGCCAGTAGCACCTACACAAGCAAAGTTCCCCCGTATAGCCTTAACAGACTGTTGGGGCAAGTGCTGTTAACCAGTAGCACCTACACAGACAAAGTTCCCCCGTGCAGCCTTAACAGACTGTTGGGGCAAGTGCTGTTAACCAGTAGCACCTACACAGACAAAGTTCCCCCGTATAGTCTTAACAGACTGTTGGGGCAAGTGCTGTTAACCAGTAGCACCTACACAGACAAAGTTCCCCCGTATAGCCTTAGCAGACTGTTGGGGCAAGTGCTGTTAGCGAGCACCTATGAAGGCACACGAGGGGGTGGGTGGCCAGCACCACGCCCGGCCGCATTTGTCTGCCGAGTGACGATGTTTACACCAAGCCCGTAATTATAATATATATTGCGGTTGTACTTCATTAATCCCTAATCTCTGCAATTACGTACAATGAAACAAGAAAAGGTAAAAAAAATAAAAAACAGAGCAATGTAATACAATACACTATTAGACATTACTGTAAAAAAAAAGTCCATCCTATGTTTTCGTTAATTTTTTTTATATTCTAGGCAGGAAATTCGTTTTCAAATGTAGATTTTTTTCTTGGGGGGGGACCCCAGACTCCCTGGAATATTTGGTCCACCCCAATGTTGACTC